ATCCACTATATCATACGAATACAACTGGTATTGACATTGTACAATACATGGCTTTAACCGTTTAAGTGTTTTAATATTGTCATCTTCTGTTATAAATCAAAGATCAGACGTAAACCATCTATAATAATAAAATCAGATATTATAGATATATTTATTCAGAGTTCCGACATACTACAAACAACAGTCTCTTATAAAGGACAACACTCGAAACAAACATACAAGTTGCAATAAGAGTCTACCCAAAATCCAAAAACAGAGGTGTCTTCTATCACCAACAGTCAATAACTAAGACGACATGTCTCGACTGATTTATACAAATTTGAAAGAATATTAATAAAAAAAATAGGAGGAGAAATGAACAGTGACACAATAAGTATGGAGAGTCATTGGAAATTGATCTGCATATTAATTTCAGGACCCCATAAAATTAATCGATGTGCACAAAATTTGTCTTGGATGTTTAATGTTATAAACAAAGTAGAGGGCCACCATTCACAATAACCGTTTAATGATAATTTGGCGGTGTTCTAAAAGGCACACTGGACGACAGTCGACGTGTCTCAAGACTTGTGTCTTACGTCATGTTAAGCATGTGGCATGCCATAGCTTAACGCACGGTTTTTATAACATGATGATTGATATTTTTTACATTTTTAATTTCTTATTTGTTAGGTTTTAAAAGATAGTTTAAAATTGTTAATAGTATTAAATCATTGAGTAATAGTATAAAACATATGTTTATATATATATATATAGAAGACTTGGGATCACGTGAGACCAGTCTGTTTTCGTGAGACTCGTGAGACCACTCTTTTACACTTGAAACTTCACAGCAAAATGCTGAAGGTTCGACTTATTTTTTTTTACCTTCACAGCGTTTTGATGTAATGTTTTAAGTGTAAAAAAGTAGTCTCACGAAAACAGGGTTGGGTTCACGTGAGACCAATGGTTTTTCGTGAAACTCGTAAGACCAATTTATGTTCATTGATCAACTTTATAAGCTAATGATCTAATGGTCTAAAGTTGTACGGTGACAATTTTGTGATTATTGAGAAGTCTCGTGACAATTTTATTATTATGAATGTTCAGATTGTAGATCTAATTCAAGGATTGAGAATTGGTTTTACGGGTCTCACGAAAAATCCTTAGTCTCACATGATTTCAAATATATATATATAGGTTGGTTCAAATACTAACCAAAACTATTGTGCAAACTATGCTAACCAACATCAACCAATCATGTTCCATCTTTTAGTTAAGTTCAAATGTAACTCACATATTAATTGTAAGGGTATTTAGGTAATTTATCATTCTTATGTAACTCCCAAATATTTTAATTTGGAGTTACAAATCTTAAAATATCACTAATTGATCTTCATGTAATAATGACATTAAGTTTCACATGTGTTCATCTTACTGAATTTTACATTTATTCTTCCTATAATGGTTTTGATATTGTAAATTTGAAAAAAATTCCCTTTTGTAAAGATTCCGTTATAGTCCGAGTAATATGGATAATCATACAGTAAAATGGATCGACGACAATGAGAATGAAAAAGCTAAAAGCATCTACTAATACATTCGGAATTTGAATTCCGAAAGTAAAGAAAATAATCAATAAGTGTCCCAATATGAACATACGATAGCTATGAACACGCTAATGTGAACACGCTAATGTGAACATGCCTACATTAAAGATTTGAATTCGGAATGACAAACAATATACATTGTTCACTAAGTTTTGAATTTCAGTAAATCCACATCCTTGTTGCTCTTTTTAATTATCTACTTTGTGTAATAATAGTTTTAGTTTTGAAGACTAACTACATAGGGGTTGTTCATTATGTTCATTAAAGATTTGACTTCGAGATGGCAAACAATATACATTATTCACTAAGTTTTCAATTTCAGTAAATTCACATCATTGTTGCTCTTTTTAATTATCTACTATGTGTAATAATAGTTTTAGTTTTGTTACTGTTTTATGTCATATAGCACAAATCATATCATGCTTATATAGGGGTTGTTCATTATGTTCACTGTGCTATGTTACTTGATCACACACATAACGATTACATTTTTCATACTAGGATGCATTAAGACATTTGTGCACAGACACACATATATTAACAGATATCAAATCAGCACAAATAACACAGACGTAGACGTTGGGATTCGTTACTGTTTTATGTCATATTGTTGATGTTCATTAGGTTCACAAATCCAAACTTGTATGTATTTGTGAAGTGTTACGTGTGTGTGATGTTCATTAGGTTCACACATCCAAACTTGTATACATTTCGCCAAAATCATCCATTGTTTTGATGAATATTATGAACCAGATTTTTCGCTAATGATATACACTATTGATCGTATAGATTGGCAGTTTCGTAGTTGATTGGAGGTTACGAAATCGTCTGAATAATATAGGTTCACGATGTGATGCGATTGTTTTTTACAAAATTACTCTTTGAACAGTTGTTCATAGACATCTTATTTAATGCATTAATTAAATGATTATTTTTGTAGTCTCATTTAATAGGGACCGTTTAATGAGAAAATGAACGATCAAGATCGGTTAGCATAGTTTGCACAATAGTTTGGGTTAGTATTTGAACCAGCCACTAGATATATATATATATATATATATATATATATTATAAAGCATTTGACAAAAACTCTTAAAAACCATTTTTATGCGTAAAGTACTGTTTATTAATGCATATTACTTAAAACTCAAGATTACAAGTGAATTGTGCGTAAGTACAACTTATTAAAGMTYYATRTYTRAATTCGTGTAACTAAYTGYAGATAAACATAATCAAATACAGGATAAACATCTCATTTTAAATATAAAAATCTAAAATATAATTAGGATAATCATTGAATTATAACATAATATTTAATTATTATCTTTATAAAATGTTATATTATTAAACCAAAAATAAATTATTTTATTATTAAACTTAAATTAAATTATAATAAAAAAATAATGAAAACTTGTAAATAGTTGATTTGATATTAAATTGATATATATTTTTTAAATTTTTTTATAATATATTCAAATTTATATTTTATTTAAAAATAAAATCATTATTGATTTCTTAAATAAAACATTAAAATCAAGATGTGTCTTGTTGTATTATACGAGTACTCTTCTAGTATATATATATAAAGAGAGAGAGAGAGAGAGTATGTGTGAGTGTGTATGTGTGTGAGAGTGTGTTGCCATTGTCACATGCCCTCTAAATATTGTCTCCGCAATTATTGGGTGTGGGTGTATCTATTACTTCCAATCAATCGTACGTTAAAACCACTATAAATCAGCAAATAATTTATCATACTCTTTTAATACAATACTTATGGGTCGTTTTACCAAATATTTATTGGATAAGAGCTTATTGGTAAGAGTCATAACTTCCATTTATCTGGGGGAACAATATTTTTGGCCATCAAAATGGATTGATGGTAAGCCTCTCAATTCTTGCCTTCCCTCTAACCGATAAGATTTTTGGTCCTTGTTATTGTCACACTGTAAGGTAATCGAACATAGAAGAGTTTATCAATATAAGTGTTTAATAAATGACCCTTTAATCAGATATTATAGGGGCAATGGCTGTACATCCTATCTAAATATGTACTTCATATTTAAAGGCGTTACAATAAGTTGTTAGATTGAAGTTACCTGATTTAACTATCTAAAAGCATTACAAATAAGTTGTTAGATGACCAAACCATATCTTAAAAACGTCATAATAATTTGTTTGGACGAGTAAAACGATTTAGTATAACATTTTCAAAAAAGTATCGTATAAAAAACTAATATGATCCCCATGCACTTTTGACCTTCGAACACCAAGCTCAAACCAATCAGACACCACCCATGTGGTTAAAGAAAGCCTAGTTTTTGTGTAACATTTAATTATAATATATATTTTCGAATAAAATTAGGAGTTATCTATTTTAATTTAAAACTAAAGTTCTAAATATTAGGTTAATCACATCCGTTGATTCTTTGAATCAAATTAATCTAACAAATATCGGTTGACGTTTGTTTTCTATTGACTAAATCTACATGAAACATGTTGCTAATTCATCCAAAAAGTTGAAGTCGGACTCTTAAAATAATATCTGAAATTGTTGTCTCATGAAAACATTTTTTTTATTAACCTGGATATTCAACCTGTTATGCGAGCCAACTAATCTCAGGACGACCACCCGTTTTATGGATAGTCCGGAGTTATCGCATTTGAACCTCCATGGTCACAAGAGGAATTTTTTTATTCCTCGTTTGATTTAAACATGAGACCTGCAAGCACTTTTGATCTTTAGAGACCAAGCTTAATTAACCAATTAGACACCACCCTCGTGGTTAACAATAACATCTCTTACGTACCAACAAAAAAATCAACATGCATGTCCTTGCATATGCACATGTATGTATGAATTATAAAATTTGTTATTGAATCATTCAAATACACTTTAAAAATGCGTCTTATTATAATTAACGATCATACAACGGCTATATTTTTCAAAAAAAAACGGCTACTTTTTAGCCGGGCCGGTCCCTCGAAACCCTCCAAAACCATAACCAATCCCGGTCGGCAGTCCTATAACTGGTCCTTACCGATCCTAGATCAGGCCGGTCCTTTGCCGGTCCCGAGCCGGTTTGGCCATCACTTGTACATGTAGGGCCATATCCCCTACGATTTTTTATCTTTTAGGTAGATAAAACTTAGTCAACTATATTAAAGATTTATTTTTTCCACTTCTGCTTAAGTACAGTCACCCCAGTTAAAAGACATGTGTTCTACTACTGGTGTCGACCCCATCAACCATTTTCAGTCGATTAATCATTTGTTATTCACATACTGATGTACTCGTGATAATTTAACTTAGATTATTAATTGTTGTTTAACTTGGACTTATTTATTGTTAAATTACAAGATAGTTTTAATTTTGGCATGATAATAATTTTCAGTATTTTATAATTCATTAACTAATGTGAAATACGAGAATTATTTAATCATATAATTTATATAATCGTGAGTACATTTGTAGCATAACAACATACAACGATTGACCCATCTCTGAAGCTTAGATTATCAGAGACGACGACCACGCTTTGGTGGCCAACAACGCCAACAACCACAACAACCGGCTGCTTTGTCTGGTTGAACTACTTTCTCTGCTTTAACCACATCGTCACCTGCATACATACACGAAAGAAATCAACATGCTTGTTCGTGCATATACACACATATGTTTGTATGCATCGTGATCGAATTACCTTTTGGTTTCTCGTTTTGCGATTGGAAGGTTGTATCGAGTGTTCTTCCTGCAGACGAAATGAGGACAAATGCAAAGAGAACGACCAAGAAGAGAAAGAGACGATTGGACTTCATTTTGTGAAAGTGTGGGTTGATATATACAATATCCTCGATTTATATAGTGATACATGTGAAGTGGTGACCCCATCAATCATTTCTAGTTAATAATATTATCTTTTTGAAGTATATAATATAATTTATATACGATAAATGCAACAAATAAACTCACATACCCTCTTCATTATTGGTGAGCTTTGAACCCGTGACCTACTAGAAGGCAAGAGGCTCAGATACCACTAGGCCAAAGACTCTTTGGTTAGTCACTAGTATTTTGTTATACATTTATTGATGTATTCATGATCATTTATCACAAATTTACACAACCAACAACAAATGATAATAAATGTATTGGTATTATTGGAGTCGGGTTCCGTGTGTGGCCGGTTGGGATTGCTGAGAATCAACTTTGAACCAGATATTAAGATACTTCACTCTTGTAAGTAGAGATGGTCAAATGGGCCCGATCCGAGATTGGCGGAGGACCGGCCCGGTCCGGGGACCGATTGGGACTGCCGGTTAAGGACTGGTTGTGGTTTTCATCCAAAAACAAGGCCCGGGACCGGTTATAGGCCCAATTTTTTTTTCCCAAAAAAATGTATTTTTATATATTTCTAACAATTTAAGTGTATTTGATTGAAAATAAAATTACAAATTTACAATAAAACATATTTTTAAGTGTATTTGAACGAAAAACCAATTATAGAACTATAATAAAACATAATTTTTAAGTGTATTTTATTGAAAAGCAATTATAAAACTACAATAAAACGTATTTTTTAAGTGTATTTGATTGATATARTTAGATATTTTAAAGTGTATTAAAATAACATTAAAGTATTTTTAAAAATTTATCAAAAAAAAATTTAGGAAAATATATAAAAGGAAAATGTTTCTTTTAATATAGGACCGGTTTAGATTCGGCCCAGGACCGGGACCGGTTACCTTAACCGGTTACAAGTACCTTTAACCAGGCCTTAATATTTTGGATAGAACTGGGATCAGGACCGGTTACAACAGGATCGGTTCAGATTGTTACTGTTTCAACCCAAGATCGATATGGGCCCGTCAAATCTTACAAATAGAACCTTACAAATTTCAAATATTTGACATGCTTGCTTACAAAGTCGCGTAAAAGGATAAATGAGCAAACAACATGTTGCAACGATCGACCTAAAAGTCAACCCAAAATTCAATAATCGAGCTATATATTAATACATTAAATATTAATATATTAAATATAAATTAAATATTCATACAAAATCCTTTTATTCACTTAATGAAACGAAAATTACACGTAAAAAATATTTAAATGGTGAAACAAATGCATCTGAAAGTATCATATTATGAAACAAATCTATGTAAAATAATATCTTAAATCCTACCACTTGGAAAAAAAAAATCATGTAATTTCTGCTCCCACAAGTTTATAACCTTCTTTTTGGTTCTCATTGATTTGATATATATATATATATATATATATATATATATACATGCATGCACACATATATATAGATCAATGTGAAAATTCTAAAATTTGTGAGATTCATGAGAACTTCTACTTTAAGGTTTGTTTCATATTTTTTTTTCATCTAAATACAGTATTTAAATGTATTGATCATTAACATATGTATTTGTTTCACAATGTGAAACTTTTTCATACGAATTTTTTGTTTTACAAACATGCCAAAAAGGTTCACATTATTAACTGAGTACATGTGAACCAAATAAGTTGTGAAACAAATGTATGTTATTAAATTTTAGTCTCAGATTAAAAAAAATCATATAAAGAACACACGATGCATTGGTTATCAAAGTGTCACGATTTAGAGAATATATATATATATATATATATATATTGGGATCATGTGAGACCAGCCTGTTTTCGTGAGACCCGTGAGACCAGCATTTTACACGTAAACTTCACAGCAAAAATGCTGTGAAGGTGACTTTTTAAAACCTTCACAGTGTTTTTGCTGTGAAGGTTCGGCTTTTTTTAAACCTTCACAGTGTTTTTGCTGTGAAGTTTACGTGTAAAATGCTGGTCTCACGGGTCTCACGAAAACAGGCTGGTGTCACGTGAACCCAACCCTATATATATATATATATATATATATATATATAGAGGGAGAGAGAGGGGGGGAGGGGGAAGGTTTACTTTGCGAATCATTTATTTATATAAATCGTACAAATTTCATTCAACTAATCATATTTTTTTATTTTGTTCATTTTTTTTTTGTAATTATGAGAGGTTGATTAATCATTTTTATTGCGGAGGGTGTCAATCATGAATATTATTATCTTCATTATATTAATTATAAAGAAATAAATAAAACAGTTTCATTAAATTTTTATAAGTATTATATGAAACAATTTCATAACTATATATGAAACAACTTTATCAAAAAAATATTATATAAAATAATTTTATAAGATTAAACAATTTCATGAATTTTTTTTATAAAATTAAACAATAAAATCCACAAATAAAAATGATTTACACGGTTTATACAAACATAAATTGTCTCATTTTTAACGATCTTCTCTCTCTATAACACAAAAGTCAACTAAAAAAGACAGCAGTGGATGAAACAAACAAGTTGCAATGGTTGACTTAAGAGTCGCCAAAATTCCAATAATTCCTTCTATCACCACATATGTGTTATAAAATATTATACATTTTTGTTCAATTATTGAGATAATATTAAATGAATTCTTATTTTTTTTCCATATATATTTTACATTTTTTTATAAATATAAACTAAAAAATAAATGTTTTCTTCATTAGGATCCTAAACATTTTAATATAATACTTATAGATCGTTTATCAAATGCTTACTGTGTAGGAGTTTATCGGCAAGAGTCATAATTTCCATTTATCTTATGGGGGGGACAATATATTCCTGGCCATCAAAATGGATTGATGGTAAGCATTTATACCCGTTAAGATTTTATCGGGAGAGAGATTTTTACCTTTTGATTTATTAGTTTGGGTTCCGACAGTTGGATGAAGGGTTCTTCCTGCAGAAGAAAAGACGACAAGTGCAAAGAAAACAATAAATAAATAAAAAGTGAGACGATTGAATTTCATCTTGTGAAATTATGTACTGATTCTTACATTTTGGGCAGATGTTTCGAGATAATGGCTAGTTTTCCAGAGCAGTTATCATCTTCTTCAAAAACAAATCTTCAATTTTCTTGAGAAATAGATATCAAAAGTATAATACCAAGTGATACTGATTGCAGCAGCCGAAAATCTTCTTAAAGAAAACAACCTCCCCATAGACTCGGCAATCCAGTTTGATGTTTTGATAGTTGACCAAAAGACGTCAACCTTCATCTTCACTTTCAGTCACCTTCACGAACTTTAACGGTATCTTCAATCACTTTCGAATGGATGAATTTACTGAAGTTTCAGTCATAGTGATAAAAATAGGTAAATAAAGACAGTTAAAAATAAATGAAGGTACATAAAAGTTTTGTTCTCAGTAAAAATTCATTCTCATAAGGATCCAACCGTATATAACTGAAAATTTTGAGCATTAATAATTGATTATTGAAGAGAAAAAACGAGAATTTATTTCATCGTTTATTTATATTATCAAGAGTACATTTGTAGCACAACTACAGACATGAATCCTAATCTGGCTTTCTAACTTCGTGCTAGTTTTTTTTATGAAATCTCCACCGTTCAAAAAAGACATACATGGATCAACAATTGGCGGATGCACATTATAGGTGTAGGGGGCACATGCCCCCAACAAAGTAAGCCTAAAAACAACCAAATAAAGCATTAAAGGTAGGTTTTAAAAAAAATTAACAAAAAATTATTAATAGGCTCCTAACAATTAAGGGGCTGTTTGTTTTTAATAAAAAAGCTCTTAATATCCTCTTAAGTCTGAATCGGTCAAACATAAGAGGATTTAGTATGTTTTTTTTTCAATTAAGAGCTTAAAAGCTCTTATTAGGTTTGAAAATTTCAGTGGTTGAGAAACCTCTTATTACCTCTTATTTCAAATCGCCGCCTACCTACTCTGATCTCTTTGCGCTCGATTTCTCTTGATCAACTTTTCTGTCTCGATCTCTCATCTCTCAACTGTGTCAACTGTCGATCCATATCAACTCTCGATCTCTTATCTTCAAACTTCAGATTTCAGACGCAAAAAACAAACAGTCTGACTGATTCAGATTTCAGACTTCAGCACCTCTTAAACATCAGAAGTGAATTCAGACTTCAGACTTTATCACTTCTTAAAAAACAAACGCCACCTAAATGTAAGGTACCAAATCTAAATTTATGCATCTCATTTCAATTAAACATCCTTAAGTTCCAAATCTCAATCTATTGAAAATCATTTTGATTAATCACTATTTTGATTTTTTCCAACTTTCTTTTTGCATTTTATTGTTTTACAGATTTATATTTATTGCTATTTATTAATTATTAATTTCTCTTTCTTAACTGTTATTTGATTTAGGATTCTTTAATTTGTTATTTCATTTGGGTTTGTTATTTTGATTTAAGGTTTGCTACTAGTTTGTCTTTTATTTTTGATTTCTTGGCCTTTTGCTATCTGATTTTTTTTAATGGAATCTGAGAGGCCGTTTACCAAATACTTAACTGGTAAACACTTACCGGTAAAATTCAACACTATCATTTACTTGTCCGGTAAGATTTTAGTTCACGAAAACGACATTATATGCAACAATTTACCTGCTAAGCGTTTACGATGGTAAAAGCCATCGCCCTCACTTATCGGGTAAAACTCTTTTCCTTATCTTGCTCTTACCAGGTAAGATTCTTGGTCCTTACGACATTCATCCGGTAAGGTAATGTGACTTGGTAAGCTCTTACCCAGGTAAGCGTTTGGTAAACAATCCCTAAGTTATGGGCCTCTTGCCCTCTAATTTCTTTTGACTAACTATTAATGTGTAGTGTGTTCATTGGCTTTGGTTTTACCGAAAAGTAAAATATGTACATAACAACATGATGTCTCGGTTTATCCAAAATAGTCAAAAATTAATTGAAAACCAAACCAAATAAGTTATATTTATTCACACACATATATGTATATATATAGCAAAGTAAGACACTTGAGCTTCATTTTCTAAATCTATGTTTTGAGCTTGATACTTGTGATATACATATATGTATATATATATATATATGTATATATATGTGTATATATACACACACACATATACACATGTATATATATATATTCGACAACTTGCAATACAAGACTTTTAAATCTACCAAAAACTGGAGATTTGTTTCATCAGAATTTTTTTAGTTTTTTATGGACATATTTGGAAATGGTAGTTAATCAGTACAATTTTTGTTATTTGTTTATTGTCGATGTATTAATAATAGGGTAGTTAAAAGCTCGTGTTTTTTTAGCAGTTAGATAAATGATGAAATCAGCTCATCTAAATGCTCAAAAGTACTGTAACTTATATTCTCACTTTGTGTGTGGAAAAAAAAGCAGTCATAATTTTAAACATATGAAACAACACTATATAAACACTGTATTTTTACATATGTTGTTTTATATATTACACAACACATGAAATCTATTTTATAAGAATATATGATTTATTGAGTTCGTAACGATTATATGTAAGTCATTAACTTTGATAATTTCATTTTAATATACAACAATTTCAATTTGCTCATGTTTAATTTTCATGCAACAAATAGCTATTTAATTTAATTTAATTAATTGCAAATATATAATTTTTAAATGAAAAACGTAAAATGATACATTACATTAATGGATAATTATTTTCAATTTATCTGGTAAGAGGTAAACCAACTTTTTATATGTCTCTTATTGTTCTTCAAACCATCAACAACAACGTTTCTCAATCGATTAACCTTAATTGATCATTTTTCTTATAAAAGTATTTTAATTATTCTGATCACTTAATCATTTTGCACCAAACCATTCAACAAATGGGTTGATCCTCAAAAGTCTCATTAAACGACGACACTTTTGAAAGGTTTGACTTCAAATTTTAGGGTGCGTTTGGTTCATTTGTAGGAATAGGAATGAAAATGGGAATTAATATATTAGGAAATAGGAATGAATATATTCATTACATTATTTTATATTCCATTATATTTCTTTATATTGTTGATGTTTGTTTGACGAAGGTATTATCAAACAAGACATTCACCAACAACATCTATATAGTTGAAGGGATCTGCATCTTTACACCAAAAAAAGTCTATCTCCATCTCCAATACATCAGCACATAGCATCCATCAGCACCTARCATCCAACAGCAATACTTTTCCATCATCAATACATTATCTYCATTMTTTATCATAAAAAGTCTATCTCCATCTCCAAGCTACCAACAGCACATAGCATCCATGATTTCTCTCTTTCTCAGAAAACCCTAACMGAGTAGAAGAGAAACCATCCCTTATTTCTTTCTTCATCAGAAAACCTTGAACCGAGTATAACGAAAACCGGAACAGAGATGTTATCTATGTGAAAATCGGAGGAAATAAACAAATCTATGTGAAAATCGGAGGAAATAAACAAATCGATGTGATAAATCAAATCGAAATCTTCGATCCGATGGAGAAAACCGAGTTCSCCYTTTTTGATYGAGATGGAGAAAACCSTAACTGAAATGGAGATTAATCTTCGAAAAACTTGATCGTCAAACAAGATTTGTATCAGATCTGAGGTGTAGGAAGAGATAGATGGAGAAATGGTAAGGGAGAAGAAGATACCTTGAGGAGGATAAGGGGAGACGATGGTAAGGGAGAAGAAGATACCTTGAGGAGGATAAGGGGAGACGATGGTAAGGGAGAAGAAGATACCTGAACAAGATTTCTATTCCCCCCAAATTGGGGAGGAATGGTTTTTAATAAAATCTATTATAATGATTAATTAATTATCTGTTACCAAACACCATTTTTCATTCCATTTCCATTCCTTGTTTGAAACAAACACAATCAATGATTATCATTTTCATTCATTACCCTTTAATACCCCTAACCAAACACCCCCTTAGAATTGGTTTTCTTTAACTTGGAAAAGGTCAAAGCATGAATATTTGCAATTTTTATAAAATTACAAAAAAAATTGTATTATTTTCAATTATATATTGTAATAAAAAAAATTAATAATTATATATTTTTTATATTTAATGTTATTTTGTTTAATTCCAATCAAATTATAATATATAAAACAAGAAATTATTCCGTCATTTATTCATATTATTTGGAGTACATTTGCTCGTAGCTACATATATCGACTGACTCGACCATAAAGTTTAGTCTGTAGAAGTCGACGACCACGTGTCGGCGGCCAACAAGGCCAACAACCACCTTCAACGTTTGGTTGAACTACTTTCTCTGTTTTAACAACAGCGTCTCCTGCGTATATATAAACAAAAAGAGATCAACATACATGATCTTGCATATTGCATCGACACTTATATGTATATAGGATCGTAAATGAATCGAACGAACACGAGCTGGGAGTTGTTTGTGTTCTTTTGTTTGAGTTAACGTAACAAACACAAATAGTAAGAGAAGGGGATTTTTGTATTCGTGTTCGTTTGTTTAGAAAATGTGTGTGTTCGTGTTTGCTTATGTTCGTCTGCTAAAATACTAAACGAACAAACAGAAATGAACAAAAAGCAACCACCATTACCCATCATTATAACATAATAAAATGAAAAACTGGTAAACTTAGGAGGGATAAAAAGGGAATTCTAAATGATTAATTTTAATTAATAATTTTACGTATTAATGTCATAATCTATATATATATATATATATATATATATATGAGGTTTCCTTTGCAAACCACGTTATTTGTGCAAATCGTACAAACCTCATTCAACCAATCATAATTTTTTATTTTGTTCATTTTTTTTAATTATGAGAGGTTAATTAATCATTTTTAATATGGAGGATGTTAATCATGGATATTGTCATCTTCATTATATTAGTTTTAGAGGAATACATGAAACAGTTTCATTAGATTTTCACAAGTATTGTATGAAACAATTTCATAACCATATATAAAACAACTTCATCAAGAAAGTATGTATGAAACAATTTCATAAGATTAAATAATAAAATCGACGAATGAAAGTGGTTTGCACTATTTGTACAAATATGAGTGGTTTGCATTTGATCACTCATCTCTCTCTCTCTCTCTCTATATATATATATATATATATATAATAAATATAAACAAACAAACATAAATGAACGAACAAGGTCATTGTTCATGTTCGTTTATTTAACTAAACAAACAATAAAACATTTTCATGTCCGTTCACTTATTAGATTAACGAACTTCACATTGAACAGTTCGGTGAATGTTCAGTGCCGATCTGTGGCCACCCAACCGATAGAGTTGGCTAGACCCCTTGCCATGTAGAAAACATTAAAATGCTTAATTTACAGCCCTATATGTATGCGATCTATTATACCTTTCGGTTTATTGTTTTGGATCCCGAAGGTGGCATGTGGTGCTCTTCCTGCAGACGACACGAGGATAAGTGCAAACAAGACAACCAAGAAGAAAGAGAGACGAGTGGACTTCATCTTGTGAAATTGTGCGTTGATGCATATAGTTTGCTCGATTTATATAGTGGTGCATGTGAATTGTCGATCCAAAATCAATCTTTTTCAGTCGACTGATATATAGTTATTCATTTATTAATATATTCATGATAATATATCATAAATTCATAGACATAACATATATCGAATAATAACAAATATCTGACAAGCCACAAATAAATGACTTAATTTTTATGGACATAAAGATAGTTGACTTCGTGAGTTTACTTCAAAAGAAATGTAACCAACTTACTAAAGGGTTTTTGGTCTAGCGATATCGTAGTTCTTGGTCTCGTAGGAGGTCAGGGGTTCAAACCTCACCAAAAAAGAGAAGAGTGTGTGAGTTTATTTGTTATATATATATATATATATATATATATGTGTGTGTGTGTGTGTGTGTGTGACGTTTCAAATGCAACATATCACATTTGTACAACCAATGCAACTCAATCAATTGAGATATTTATGGAAATGGTGAGAGCTCATTTATTATGATTTGAATATTTATAGAAGATGACTAAGGTTTATTAATTATGATCAATTTTTTATATTATGAAACAATCAAAACTTTTATGAAATTACATATTCATTAAATTAAATGGACGATTGAGATTGAGTTGTATTATTTGTACAAATATAAAATGTTGCATAATAACTTATATATATATATATATATATATATATATATATATAGGGTTGGGTTCACGTGAGACCAATGGTTTTTCGTGAGACCGGTAAGACCAATTTATGTTCATTGATCAACTTGATAAACTAATGATCTAATGGTCTAAAATTCACGGTGGCAATTTTGTAATTATTGAGAAGTCTCGTGGCGTTTATGAATGTTCAAATCTAACGATTGTATATCTAATCTAAGGGTTGAGAATTGGTCTTATGGGTCTCACGAAAAACCATTGGTCTCACATGATCCCAAGTATATATATATATATATATATATATATATATATATATAATACTTAATAAAATGTAACTAACTTTAAAAGAAAAATTAAATTTTTTTGAAATCTAACTTAAAGAGGACCACATTTCAAAGAAACAACCAACAAGTTGGAAGGGTTGACTTAAAATTCTACTAAAAATCCAAAAATAGTTGAAGGCTTGAATGAAAATATGGTCAAATAAGAGAATGATCGATCATACGTGATTTTGTATTGAAATCACATGTATTTACGGAAAATGGTCAACACAAGAGTGTGTGGCCGACTAGGTCACGACCAAGATCACGCGTTATCAAATGTGATTTTACATATTAATTTAAGGACCATTTACCGAACGTTTACCCTGGTAAGCAGTTACCAAGTCACATATCTTAGCGGATGAATATTACGAGAACCAAGATTTTTACCATGTAAGAGTTAAGGCAAGGAACGGGAGTTTTACCCGGCAAATGAGAGTGACGACTCTTACCACGGTTAGTGTTTACCTAGTAAACTACTGTTTTGGTGGACTAAAATTTTACCCGGTACAGTAAGTGATAGTGCTAAATTTTTACCGGTAAACACTTACCCGGGTAAACTTTTGGTATTATTTGACATTCAATTTTGAGCCGAAGGTAATAAGAAGATAAATCACTAACTGTTACGAAATTTAAATATTCACAACATAGAAGTAATTCTTACTGTTTTCTGTTTCGTTCATCTCCATCATTGATGGTATTTAGAAACTCTAACACCAATGATCAGTAAGTGCTCTCATATTAAGAGTTAAAGGTTGTTTGACAGTTGCTAAATGGTTTAATGCAAAATGATTAAGAATTTTCATAATATAATGTAAAATAAAATATAACTATTAAGTAATTGTTTTCGATGAAATTAGAGCGCTAAATGGTTAAGAAAGACCCCATGATATAAAATCATAGGGTTTTATAACTATTAAAGAGGCACACTTTATTTTATCAAACAAGATTCACCTCTTAATGCTTCAGAAATTACGTCTTAATGTAACTGTTAAAAGGTAAACAAATAACTCATAACCACAATATTTTAATCGAAGAAATTGACCAAGCATGAAATGCTGAACCCTAAAATGCGGCCAAGCATGAAACCAGTTCTCTAATGGGGATGAAATCCATTAATGGTGATGAGGATTTTGCCTCCTTTTCCTTTGAAACCACTAGCTGATTTGCTTAATTCCCTTGTTGATTTCCCTGTAATTGTATCGTTATTTCGGAACCCTAATCGTAGTTCTTCATTTACTTCCTTTCATTCTCTGAGGAATTCTGTAGAAATTGACCTACAAAATGACCTAGCTTTATACGATGAATTGGTTTCTTTCAATAAATTTGTTCAATTCCAACCTCTTCCCTCCATTAAAGACTTCTGTAAATTATTAACTCGTATTGTTAAGATGCATCACTACTCTGTTGTTATTTCCTTAATTCAACGACTAGACGTTTTAGGAGTTAAATCCGACATTTATGCGGTTAACATCGCCATTAACTGCTTCTGCCACCTGAATAGAGTGGATTATGGTCTCTCTGTGTTTGGTAAAGCCTTGAAACGTGGTTACGAACCTGATTGTGCTACGTTTAACACTTTGATTAGAGGACTATGTGCTGATGGCATGCTTGATCACGCACTCCAACTGTTCGACCAAATGCTTGAGAGTGGGTTCAAACCGAATGATGTAACTTACGGGACGATGATATATGGTATGTGCAAATCGGGGAACACGAGTGATGCGATTATCTTGCTTAGAAAGATAGACGAAGAATCGAAGAGGGTTCGTTCACCTGGCATTATTGTATATAGCACCATCATCGACACCCTTTGCAAAAAGGGGAAAGTTATTCATGCTTTGAATCTTTTCTCAGAAATGATTCAGAAAGGCGTAATGCCGAATGTTGTGACTTACATGTGCCTGATGCAGGGGTTATGTGGTTTCGGATTACGGGAAGAAGCCAACAGATTGTTGGATGATATGATCGGTCGTAACATCTCACCAGATTTGCAGACGATTAATGTGTTAATAACTGCGATGTGTAAACAAGGCTGGGCAACCGAATCACATAGCTTTCTTGATTTCATGGTTGGAAGAGGTATCATCCCCAATACCGTTACTTATAACGCATTGATAAACGGATATTGTATGATTCATAGAGTTGATAACGCTAGGCGCTTGTTCGATGTCATGACCAGCCAAGGTTGCGCTCATGATGTTGTTAGCTATAATGTTTTGATCAATGGGTATTGTAAGAACGAAGAGATAGATGAGGCATTAGGATTGCTGAACGAAATGTCCCGAAAAGGGGTTGATCCTAATGTCGTTACGTACACTACTCTTATTCGGGGTTTATGTCTTGTTGCCAAACTTGACGATGCCCTTATAATGTTTCATAAAATGCAAGATTGCGGCCAGTTTGCTAACGTTGTAACTTATAGTACTTTGATAGATTCCTTCTGTAAACATGAAAGACTCGATGAGGCTTTAGGTTTGTTTAAAACGATGGATTGTGCAGGGGTGGCGCCGGATGTGTTTACTTTTACTAGCATCATCGATGGGCTGTGCAAAGCCGGGGAACTCAATACTGCAAATGAACTCCTTGTAGAACTTTCTTCCAGAGGGTTAAAACAGAACGTCTATACATATACTGCGATGATTGGTGGTTTTTGCAAGGGTAGGAAATTGGGTGAAGCTAAAGAGTTGTTCTTGGAAATGCAGGATCGGGGTTGCCCGCCAAATGTTCATACGTATACTGTTATGATTCGTGGGTATTGTAGGAATGGGGAACTGAACGAAGCAAATGAGTTGCTCGTAAAGATGCAGGAGAATGGTTGTTTACCAGATGGTTGTACTTATAATACCATCATCCAGGGATTTCTCGTACACAATGAGATATCAAAGGCGATTCGTTATCTTGAAAGATTGAGGAACAACGGGTTCTCTGTAGATGCATATACAGCAGCCTTGTTGCCGAGATTTCTGTCGTGTGGACGATTAGAAGATTCATGTAAGAAAGTTCTTGAAGTTTTTGTTGACGATCATCGTAGACCTTAACGACATTGTGAAAGAAGGGTAGTTAAGGGGTATAAAAGGTATTGTGCAAAATTTACAGGAAATTCTTTCATAGTTTCATGGACATTGGCTGATACTTGAAATGTGGCATAGAGTGTGCTTACTTAGCGCCGTTTATCAAACGCTTACCCGGGTAAGCGCCTACCAAGTCACATTACCTTACCGAATGAATATGATAAGGACCAAGAATCTTACCCGGTAAAATTAAGACAAGGACTAAGAGTCTTACTGAGTAAGTGAGGGTGACGACTCTTACCACGGTAATCGCTTACCGGCTAAATTGTTGCATACAATGTCATTTTAGTGGACTAAAATATTATCCGGTAAGTAAATGATAGTAAATTTACCGGTAAGTGTTTACCGGATAAGTGTTTGGCAAACGGCCTCTTAGTTATCTTTATAAGATGAACGGGTAAAAAGGGTATTACCACTTAGGGGATGGGTCCAGATTTTGGGATCCCAGATCAGGAACGAACAATCAGAACTAAAGGTTGCCTTGTAAGGTATTGGGATGGAACAAAAAAGGTTTTGAAGAGTGAGATGTATGCAAAACTATTAAGACAAATAGATTCAGTATATGTCATTTTCATCTGGATATGAGAAGATGTATGCAGACCTGACATCTATTACATTGAAAGCAGCGGTTGTCTCTATGAGTATTGTAATTTAATAATTTTAGTTAGGATGTTCTCTAAACCGTCAAATCGCAAACCGTCTACACCATACCGCACAGTATAGAACATCCATGATGCGCTTTGTAGTTTGCAATTTTACCAAACCGTTCGCGGTTTACAGTTTTGAGTTATTAAACCGCGTTCAAACCACGAGGCACCGTATATTTTATATATTTTTTAATTTTATAATATTTTTGGATTTTGAGTTTGAAGTTTATTGTTTTTACTTCTTAGACTATTTTTAATTTATGCAATATTGTATTCGAGAATCAGATTTTTTTTTGGGGACTACGATCACGTTATCGTTTGATATTATAATGTATTTTCAAACTTATAATTATTGGATCATAGACATAAAGTGTGATAAGTACAAAACATATAAACTACATCGCACCGTGTTTTGCGGTTTGAGGTTTATGTGGTGCAGTTTGATAAGATGCTCAAATCGTATATACGATGCGGTTTACGTTTTGATCCCAAACCGACCGCGAACACCCTAATTTTAGTTATTAAATATAAAAAATCAAATATAAATGTTTTTGTGACCACAAACTTCTCAATATAGTTTTATGATTTATTCCTTACGTAGATAAAATTTTGGTAAACTACAAATTTGGTCCTTGTGGTTTGCCAAAAGTAACACTTTTCGTCTCTTTAATTTTGAAGTTATAAGATGGCCATTATGAGTTACAAAAACGTCCAGATTTGGTCCCTCTCTTTAATTGTTGTTAAAAAATTATGTTAAATGAATGACATTTTCGTCTTTTTATCGTCCTTTTTTGTCTTTTAACTAATCATAATTAGGGATGAACATAGGCGGGTACCCGCCCTTTTTGACAGGAACCGGAACCGGCGGTTCTTGAGATATTGGAACCGGTTAGAGTGGTTCTTAAATTTTTGGAACCGGAACCGGAACCACCGGGAACCGGTTCCGGGTACCCACTTCCTAAAATATTAAAATTTTGTTATTTAGAAATAAAAAATAAAACATTGCCAAAACACTAAATAAATAAGTAAGAATACAAATTATACAGAATAATGGTTACAAATATTGTTTAACGATTACAAACCATAATAGACAAATAAAAAATGTTCAAAGTTTAACGATTACTACTATAATGATAAATATTTAAAATTTAACGATTACATACTATAAATCCAAGTGAACACATAATTTGAAAAAATACGAACCATTCTATATGAAGAATTTAGATGAAGAATGAAGATGATGGCGTGTTTTCAAGATGTAAACTTAATATAAATTTGATATTAAAAAATAATTATTATTTTTTTATTGAAAATACCGGGTACCCGGCGGGTAACGGTTCCGAAAATTTGAGAACCGGAACTGGGACCATTCTCAATCGGTTCCGTATTTTAGGAACCGGAAACAGAACCACTCATATCGGTTCCGGTTCCGGTTCCATAGCCAGGTACCCGGTTCCGCAGTTCACCCCTAATTATAATCTATTTATAATTTGGTCCTTGTGGTTTTTCATTGGATCAATGATAAAAAAATAGATAAAAAGACAAAAATGTCTATTATTTAACGGAATTTTTTGACCATTGTCAGAGAGGAACCAAATCTGAATGTTTTTGTAAACTATAATAGTCAATCTTATAATTTCAAAACTGGAGGGATAACAATCACAAATCATGGAAACCAGAGGATATATCTTGGAAAACGACACCGTTTAAGTCAAAACCCCTCGGCTGGCTCCATCGACGCTCGCCGTCGTCTCTCATCACTCGATAGGTAAGTACTCTCTCGATCTATACAGCCCTCTTTTCTGTGTTTTTCTTTTCGATTTTCTCGATTTCTACTCTCTAGTTGTTTTAAATCAAAAAAAGTTCTGGGTTTTTTTTAGTATAAGAGATTTGACCTTTGTTGATCAACACTCTACTTTAGTTGTTCACTTGAACGATGGAATGGGTGTAATCGTCATGCACAAAATTTGTTTGATAAAATGTCCAAATGAAAAATCTTGTTCAAGCATGAACTCGAATTGCCTCTTTTTTCTTCTTAGAATGATTATGTTGGGAGCTCAATGTCAGATGAATGTACCAATTCTCCTAGATAGCACTACTTTTCTGCAGAAATTGAACCAGTTCGCAATGAATATTATACCATAAAATGGACATGTGAGAATATAATAAAATCAAACTAATTGATTATGGGTTTGGACTACTTGGTTGGAAGCTGTAAGGGTGGTTTGACTCCTGGTACAATAATCCTTTTGCCTGATTGATTATGGGTTTGTGGGACTTGGTAATTTGGTGAATACTGGAAAATATAATGTCTGATGTTTATACCTTATTTAAATATTTGGGATTTTCTAAGAATGGTTTTGAAAGTTGGTTTTGTAATTTATGGTGTGAGTTCCAACATTTGATGAAATGCAGTAGCAGTGCCGGTGAGATGTTACCGTGAAAAGACTTTATAGGGTATTTCTTACTGGAATATTGGCAAGAGATTGTCTTTCAAAATTGTATGATAATGGAGGCAACGGTGAAAAAGTTTCAGCAGAAATTTAGAAGGGTGAAAGATGACATGGATCGATGGGACGAGCTCCAGACTCGATTAGTTTCACAGTTCAGAAATGCTTCTTCCATCATTGGAAGGTTACAGGTCCTTCACATTTCACAGACGTAGTTATAGGGTTGGCTTCTCGTGAGATCAACCTGTTTTCATGTGACCTATACCGCAAAAATAACATTGAACTTTTGCAGTAAAACAATATGGAGGTACAAAACACACCCGAACCTTCATAACAAGAACACGAAGGTTTTGCTGTGAGGGTTCAATGTTATTTTGTGGCCTCATGGGTCTCATTGGAACAGGCTTCACATGATCTCAAGTCCATACATACATATATATATATACATATATATATATATACATATATATATATATACATAGATATATATACATACATATATATACATATCTATATATATATATATATGTTTCAGTCTCTTGATTCTTCTCTGTTTGATTTCCTTTTTCCCCTCTGATCAGTTGCTGGAAGATCCCAAAAATTATGGTTCCCTGAAAAATCTTGATAACATTAAAGATGCCATCTTGACAAACCAGATGGAATCCCTGCAGAAAATCATGCTTTCAATGAATAAAACTCTGTAAGTTTGTTGTTCAGTTACTCCAATTTCATTAAAGAAAATCTATGATCAACGTCATATTTGCCTGTTACAAGATATTGATTGGCGATATTCATTTTGGTCCACAAGATTTTTCAAATTTGTTTTATTAGGATGCGTTTGGTATGCAAGAGAGGCTAAGACAGAACATGACAAAAACTTGTTATCCCATGTTTGGTATACCATCAAGAATGGACATGACATGACTTAGCAGGACAAAAAAAATATTTTTTTATCCCACTAAAATAGTTGGAACAAAAACCAGGGAGATAAACAAGATTGATAAATCATGAAACTTTCCATGTCAAATAAAAAGTCTAAAACCTTGCACAATTCTTTAGCCCACCTACCTCACCCTTGCCCGTGCAATCTTGTGTGCGTACCAAACACCCCTTAAGGAGCATTTTCGGTATTTGATTATTAGTCAAAGTCTCTCGTTAAGTACGTGCACATTTTCTTTTGGTACGGAGGGTGTATGTTATAGAAGCTAGTGATTCGTGTTACATGAAGTAATTGTTATATTTTGCGGCTTGTACTTGCTAGTTTACTTCACTTGTAGATGTAGTTTAAGGAGTTCGTTTTCATTGATTTATTTCATGGGTTGAATCACATTTTAAATTTCAAAGCAAGTTTACTTGACTAATCTTGATGTCGCCAGGGAGGAATTAAGCAGCGTTGTTTACTCACTTGCAAAAACTCTTCGTGATGCTAAGCAGCAAGTGAAAGGTGGTTCTGTTCAGCCCTCGGTGAAACAACTTCATCAGCGAATTGGCATAAAACCAAGTATTGTGGACTGCTTGGAAGGGCTTCGGCTTCTTCACGAGATGTATCAATCAGAGTATGGATACACATACTTTTCAGTATTGTTTTAATGTTCTCCCTTAAACTTGTCTTTCACTTTGTGAAACCTACTGTATTATTCCCTGTCCCAAAATAAAAGTCCACATTCCACGGTGAAAAAGGCACACATTAAGAGTAGAATTGGAAATTGGAAAGTAAGCACATACTTTTGAAAGTGGACACTTATTTTGGGACAACTAAATATAGAAATGTAGACACTTATTTTGGGCCGGAGGGAATATATTATGATCGACAATAATTTGCTATTTCACGATCGACAATAATTTGCAGCTTTAATTCTTTTCGTCTAATGGTCCAGGTACCTGCTTAAATCGTCATTGATATCTGCACTTGCTAGCATCACCTTGAAGCCGAGGTATGCCTCTAGTAGTTGTGTCCTACATCTTTTGCTTTACTAGAATATAATCGTGGTCATTACATTTATTTATTTATTCCCGTTGTTCTTAAAAGAAAAAGGGATACATTTACGAGTTCTTGTGAAAAATGTGGTACTTCCCGTTGTTATTCCAAACTGATGTTTGAATTGCTGTGTACGTATCAAGAATCGTGTCGAATTGTGTCGTAGATTTGTTTCAACTTTTCTGAGAATAATCCATATAAAATGTATAACTATAAGCACAATATGTAATAAGTATAGTTTCAGCTCTAAAATGACTCCTCACATGTGGTTCCTAGGGGACGGGTCCCATGTTGGGCCAGTCAGGGTTGCGGGTAATCAACCTTTTGCTCAAATATCAGTTGCAGTTGTCAATAAGTTGAAAACCTTTCTTCTTTTTCTAAAGTGGCAAAGCTCATATGATGATAACATTAGTTATGATTCTAAAAAACCCATATGGAATGCAGACGGTGTCTGAAAATTGATTTTAAATCTGAGTTCTGTAATGGGTTTGAGGGTTCATTCTTGTTCTTTTCTTTTATAATAGTGTTTTTAACTACTATGTCTATCAACCGTGTATAACAACATTGAATTTTTATTGTTCGTACAGTGATGTAGAATTTGCTTTTGACTAACTGCATTTCAGTGTTAGCGATATACATGCTCTTGAACAAGTCTTGGTGGATCAACCAAATATTCCCAAAGAAGAAGGTAAAAATAAAGTCCCAGCTTAAAGAGCTTAATGAGACTCACAACATATTATGTTAGCTATACATGACTGTTTGATAGTGACTTAATGATATAGAACGTGGCTTATTCAGTTTGCTTCTAGAGGTGAGCTTTATGGAGAAAGCCAAGTTTTTTCCCTTTTCCATTTAAAAAACACGCTCATTCTATCTATGAAAAAACCCTTCCAAACAAAAGTCTTCCCAATCTATACAAACACATTAATCCACACAGATAGTTTTATCCATGCAGGACTTAATGGAAAACCAACCAAATAGCCCCTTAGTTTTACTTGCTTTGACGGGTTGCTAAACGTAGTGCTCCCCCTGGATTTAGTAGTTTATTTCATCTCATCGTTCCTATTATCCGTTTGCACATGCTTGTTTCCCCATTCTTTTTGTTTTGCAAGCCGGGGTCTTCACGGAAAATCCTCTCTACCCCTAGGCGTAGAGATATGCGTACATCCTACCCTCCACATAGCCTACCTCGGTGTGGGATATACTAGGTTCGTTTGGTTTTACAGTCTTGTAAACGAAGTGAGAATTAAAATACTAGTACAAGATTTCTAAGGATTTTTAACCCAAACCCAACTTTCGAATGTGATATATTGGCTTCGTGTAGTTTGGTTCGCATACATAGACTTGCCTCCCTAACCCTCGCAAAACAAAGGAGCTTTGGTGCATGTGGTTTTTTTTTCTTGGTAACCATGGGTGTTTGGCTAGTTTACACCCATCTCAACTAAATCCCACATGGTCCTGAAGATAACAGTCATGAAAATCCCCACCTGAGTAGACTCAAACTGGCGAGTGGCGACCTATAGGAAGAAGCTGTAAGACCTGGTTTTTTATTTGTTAGTTGAGTTGTTCCTCAAAATTCTTGATATTCAATGTAGGCACTTGCGGTTTCCTGGGACAATCCTTATCTGTGATTTGTATGCTTTATTTTTCTATTTACATGGAACCCAAATCATCTTGAATTTTCCGTTAAGTTGAGAATCACGAACGAGCAACATTGTTGGCCTTTATGTTATCTAGTTTTTAGAGGTCGACTTTTTTGAAGCTAGTATTCAAATTTTCCTAATGGTGTTTGTGCAGTGCAATCGATATACGATGTTATATTTGCTGAAGAAATTTGATGGATGACGGAGAATGGGAGTACTCTGATGAACACCAATACCAAGTATTAGACTAAAGGGTGATTGGACCAGCGCAATATCTAGGTTACCAGTAAATCACAGCTTTTCTGGAGGTCGATGGTTCAAACACTACCAAAAGTGTGGAGGGTGTGTGAGTTTTGCTGTATATAAATATATATTTCAAAAACACTAAGCAACTGGTTTTCGTTGCTTTGCCACCCTCGGAAATACTTGAACTCCATGTTGTACCGTGTTCTCATGGCTTTTGTTGATCGTTGTTGGTCTTGAGTATTAACCTCTCTTTTTCTTAGATATGGATTTTGGGAATTTTTGTTCGATTTTCTAATATAGTTATGGGTTGTTTGCTTGGTTTTCCATCAAGTCTTGTATGAGTAAAGTTGTCTATGTGGATTAATATTTCCGTATGGATTGCATTACGCTGCTAACAAGCAGGTCCTTAGTTTGCTGCAAAAAAACAAGTATGACAATTTTAATAATCGATCGTTCTATTTTTTTATCGACATGGAGTCGTCTCTAGGGTGTAGTTCAGTTGACAAAGGGATGTGTCAACTTTGACCAAATAGACGTGGAGTCGTAGAGTGCCGGTGACCATTTTGATAATAACATATCACTAGAAGGACTGTTATTGACAAAATAAAAAGATAAAGATGAAAAGTGTTGATAATTGAATACCTAAGGGACCGTTTATGTAACTTCTGTTTTTAGTTCTTCTTTTAGTATAAACCTTACCGAAGTGCGAGGGTTTAAGGCAGAAAGAGTATCTGCAATTCCGGCCGCCGCTTCTCTGCTCGAACATTGAAATCGGCGGTCGCCGGAGAAGAGAAGAAGAGATGGGGAAGATATCGTACATGAAGCTGAAAGGTAGCCAAAACCTAAGGCAACGTCTGCTTCTATCAACTCTCTCTTCAACTCCGATTCTAATCGAGGACATTCGTGCCGATGCCACCTGGCCGGGACTCCTTCCGCACGAGGTTTCGTTCCTACGCCTTCTCGAGACCGTTTCGGATGACTGTCACGTCGAAATCAACGAGACTGGTAATCCTAGGGGTTATTTTTATGATATTTATGTGTACTTTGACTTCATCTATTGAATCGATTTGGTTACATACGATAAAGCAGAAATCTGAGGGAAAAATAGGCTAATTTTACCTTCAAGTTGATACGAATTTATATTGTATTTACAGAAACATATCGATAATGGAAGTTTGCTAATAAAGCATGTTGTAATCTGTTTCAATTTATGCATTTAGGGTTTGACTTCTTAAATAAAAAGAATGGAGTGATTTTTGCAACTTATAAGAATCGATGTCATTTTGTTGCTTTTGCAATGACAAATTTCAATGACCAAAAGGCGTAATTTCATTTGTTCTTTCAATTTAAATGATGTGGTCGTCGTATTTTGCTTGAGAATGTGTATTGGAGTTGAAGTTACAAGTCTGTTCATTTGAAGTGAATGGTATTTTTGGTACTGATGGATTCATTATTGAAATTGCTGCTGTGGGAATTGCTAGGGACGAAGTTGAAGTACAAGCCCGGGATAGTGATGGGTGGGAAACATCTGGAGCATGATTGTGGATTGAGTAGATCAATTGGCTATTTTCTGGAACCTTTGATTGTGCTTGGTTTGTTTGGGAAGAAGTCCCTTTCCATTAGGCTCAAAGGTACCTTGCTCCCTTCATGCTTTCTGTTTATCTTACATCCGATTAATTTAGCTGCAAAATTTTCTAATTAAGGGAATGCCCTACTGGTTTTTATTGTTTTGGTGCGATCAACATTGAGTTCTTTCTTTTATGGTAATGGTTTCAAGAGTTGGATTAGATATTTAGCAATTAAATCGTGATTCATTGCCATTTAATTCAAATTCACTCACCAAAAAGATATGTGCTTTCGTGGTTTTTTTGTGTGTGTGAATATTAGTTTTTGGGTGACTTAATCTTTTATGTATATTTGAAATAGATGAAGTGACTTGCTCTTTAATGTATATTATGATCTATTTTGTAATCTAAACAGTTTTAAATCCAAGTGTTCCTTTGTGAGTATCTTAGACGGCTGGTTTTTAATAGTACTTGTGAATAATTGAAGGAATTGCATTTTGACACTATAGATTATGGATTACTGCAAAAAGATGCTCACTTACAAGACCCTTTGGTCAATGGCCTCCATCTACCAAGTGTGCTTTACATACGGAGAATTTAATTGCAGATTGGTCTTTGTTACTGTAATCTTTATGATTTTGATGTAACAAATTTTGAAACGACTGGTAGAGATCGATGAACATATCATATGTTGCTTTCAGGGATCACAAATGATTCTAAAGACCCATCTGTTGATACATTTAGATCAACCACCTTACCTTTATTAAAGCGTTTTGGAGTTCCTTCAGAAGGATTGGAGTTGAAGATTGAAAGCCGTGGGGTTGCTCCCAAAGGCGGTGGAGAAGTTATCCTATCAGTTCCCATTGTTCACAATAGTTTAAAGGTCAATTTCCTTATCTCTTCCATGCGAGTATGTATCTTTCATATCTCACTCCTTTCACGTGGTTTCGGTTTGCAGGCAGTCACGTGGACTGATGAAGGGATGGTTAAAAGAATCAGGGGGATCAGTTTCTCCACAAGAGTATCAGTTCAGTTTGAAAATACAATGATACATGCTGCTCGAGGAATCTTTAATCGCTTGCTTCCGGATGTTCACATATTTACTGATCATAAAGCTGGTGCACAAGCTGGAAAGTACGTATTTTTAAAGCCCATGTGATATGCTTTTGTGTGTATATCCGAATTTTTTATGAGTGTTTGATGTCTCACACTTCTCTGTCCCATGAATATTGCAACTATTTCCTTTTGGCATGTCGTGTGAAAATTGCTAACATTTTCTTTTCTGAGTAGTGTGTCTGAGTTATAGTTATTCCCTTCGTCCCAAAATAATGCCCACAATGAAAAAGGCATGGTTATTATACTTTTTAATTGATTTAATGACAATTTTATCCTAATAGTAGAGGAAGTAATGAATTTCTCCTTATCATAAGTTAAGGTTAGAAATGGAAAGTAGGCACTTATTCTGAGACAAACTACAGTAGAATTGTGGACACTTATTTTGGGGACGGAGGATGTAATTATTTACTCATAACAATTAAGGCGAAGCAGGTTTAGGAACGACGAATCTCTTTATCATCGTTACATAAAATGTGTATGGTATTGTTTCTGTGCACAAGATTCTTTTATTTCTCTTTATTGAAGAGTGCCTTGGATATCTAAAACATAATCAAACAATCTCTCTAAAGCTATGTACCAACTAAGTTGCAATTTTTTTGAAGCATTATATAAAATCAGCATGATTGGTGGATTTGATCATTTAGTAATTTGCCATTTTCACAGTTCACCTGGTTATGGAATTTCATTGGTTGCTGAAACAACTTCTGGATGTTTTCTATCTGTTGATACCACAATTTCTTATGCTCGAGGGAACGATGAGATGGATATTGATGAAAAGAAAGAGCTTATGCCTCCAGAGGACGTTGGTGAGCAAATTGCATCCCTTTTACTCGGTGAGATTGAACAAGGCGGTGTCGTAGATTCTACACATCAGGTTTGTATCTGAACACTATAACACTCTCATGCATGACTTTTTATGTGAATTCAGATCATGGAGTTCATTACTCTATTCCAGTGATGCACAAAAAGCCCAAATCCCCAAGCCTGGCCCGACCCAAACCGCCCGGGCCTAGCAATCCCGGAGCCTAGGGCCAGCCCTAAAAGCTCAATAAGGCCATGATTTTTCATGAATGCCAAAAGCCTGGGCCTGACAGAGCCCGATCAGGCATATTTTTCAAACCCGAAGCCCGAGATCTTTTTGCTTACTGGAAACGGGCTTGAAAGGCCCGGGGCCAGGCCTTGTGCATCTCTACTTTAAATCATTCAATCTTAGATATGAAAATCTTTCTCCTATAAAAATGTTGCAAAAATAATTAAAAATGTTTACTTTCAATCACATGTATTTTTGTCGATTTTCAGTCAGAGTAACCAACACGAATCGTGTTTGCAAACAAACCATGATTCTTGCAAAAAAGCTCGATATACATTTGCTGATGGTGATTATATATGTGTATGTATATATTGCAGGGTTTGTTATTTATTCTTTGTGCATTGTGCCCACAAGATGTATCGAAGGTTCGTGTAGGAAAGCTTGTACCCTACGGGATTGAAACGTTGAGGAATATAAGAGATTTTCTGGGTGTTAAATTTGTAATCAAGCCGGAGCCAGCAACAGGTACGGTAGAGCTCAAATGCATCGGATGTGGATTAAAAAATTTATCACGAAAACTATCTTGATGTTTCAAAATATTTCATGTCGAAATCTTGTTTCATTATTAAGTTCAGCCTTTCAGTAAGATGAAAATTGAGCGATCGATTTTATTGATCTCATTATATCGTATTCGTTCAAGCTTTTAGATCCATGAATGCAAGATATGTTATGTTAATCTCAGTCTGGTTTGCGGAATTTGATGGAATCGGAATGATAAATTCTTTTGACCAAATTCATTGATTTCTTGAACCAGTTGGATTCCGTAGAATTCCGCGATTGAATTCCATTTCTTGACAAATTTATCAGGTTTCATAATTTGGTTTATAAAAACACAAAATTCACCATCCCCTGCCACCCCACTACAGCATTATAAAAGTTCTTACTAACTTATTAAAAGGATTGTTTGTTTACCTTTTAATAGTTTCATTAAGAGGCAGTCTCTGAATCGTTAAGAGATGAATCATGTTTGGTAAAATAAAAGTCTGGCTCATAATGGTTTCAAAACCCTCTGAATGATTTTGTATTCTGAATCTCTTTTAATCATTAAGAGCTTTAATTTCATTGTACATAATTATCAAACAATTATATTTCATTTTGCATTATATCATGAGTCTTTTAATCATTCTGACCATTCAATCATTCTACACCAAACCATTCAGCAATTGCCAAACAACCCCTAAGTTAGAATTGTTTAAATTCTTCAAAAACTTCTTATTACTGGTTTGGCACTGTTACAAGCTGTTTATCCAAACATTCAAAAATGCTTATTACCGGTGTCATACAAGAATAAGTCAATAAGTTGTTTTTATAAGCAATCCCAAACATTACCGTTAGTCACTGTTACTAATTTAATATTCATATCGTATTTATAATCTAATGAAAAATATAATAAAAGTGTATTTTGATATTTTATTATTATTTTATTCAAATTCCAAAGTTGCATTCTGCTTACAAAATGTGATTTTGGGAGATTTCATTCCAATTTTTATTATAAAATGTGTTTTTGAGGGATTTAATTCCAATTTCTATCAATCAATTGTGTAGTTGAATTTCATTCCAATTTCTTCAAAATCAAATTATTTTGATGAATTTCAATTCTACCAAATTCAGTTTTACAAACAAATCACCCAAATGACCAAATATTATTGTATTCGAGCACCAGCCTGCCTACTGTTTCCTTTAACAAAAGTAAGCTAAAATTAACCAACTCTTTAACATTGATTTCATGCTAAGCACTTGATAATATGGCCTCTGTTTTCTTTACTCATGAAATAGCTGCTACTTGTACAACAGAACTATATGTATATATATATATATTATATATATATTACATGGAAATATCCATCCATATTCGATGCTTCCTTTGCTAGGTTCTTCAGTCCAGTTAGTTAGTATGTTACTCGGTCCGTGGCAACAAAAAGCTAAATCCCGAGTTCTCACGGATCAAAGGCGGAGGCTCCACATCCGAGATTTCTATTTGTTCCATTGACTTTGATATATCATCAACCGAAAACGGAATGCTGCATCATCCAACACCAAAAGGTCACAACAACATATACTTGGAAGGAATTCACTTTTTTCAAGTTCCAAATGACCATCGTCCGTTTGGAAATGCCAAATAGTTTGCGACAATGAAAAACAACTCCTGAATGTGGTGTTCATTTTCTGGGGCAAAAACCGATTATATAAACCAGACCAAACCAAACCAGTTTTCCCAAAGGAAGGTAGGGTCTGGGGGTAGGATGTCTACCCCAAGGGGTAAAGAGAACGTTTCCGTGAAGACCCCAACCTGCAAATGATAATCAAAAGAAACACTCGAGCACGCTACAACTGACAACATTAGCAGGAGAAGCTACGGAGTACAGTTAACAGGAACAAAAACATCAGGACGGATGTGAAGCAAAACCCAGACGATATTTTTACAACAAAAAATCCAAGTATGATGGTTTCAGGTCAACCACGCAAGAGAAATGGCCAAGTGATCAGAATAAAATGTTGTGTTCTAGAGATATATAAAGAAAATAACAAGAAACAAAACAAGAGTATATAAGCAGGAGAAAAGTAACCTGGAATCATCATCCAACAGGAAAGAATTGCTTATCGCATTGTTTTCTTCAGTCATCATCACCCTCATGCTGGATATAACCTGAACGATGATATCAATGAGTACATAATGCTATAATTGGTTTCAATGACAATCCAGTGTTTCGGAAACTTGAGCGATTCCAAGAAAGTGATTCAGGGGCATTTGGTTCAGGCAAAGGAATGAAAATGAAAATGACAGAGAATAAAAATGAGAATGAATTTTCATTCCCCCCAGTTCAATCTGAAATGAAAATTTGGGCTCCCGTTTTATTATATAAAACCAAATAGTTTCTTTTATCTTCATTCCCATTAATTATTACTTCATACCTCCAACCAAACACCTTGCCAAACTTGGACTGACTGATGACATCTATACAAACTTACATCCGGGGACACACTATGCGTGCCATATTTGTCATCCCAATACATTGTACTAATCCGGTACAACTGCTGTACACTAAGAACCTGTAGAACAAAAGAAATAGCTAGTTGAAAACCAAAAGATAACCAAACCAAATCAAACGAGCCCAGTATCTCCCACCAGAGGAGTAGTTTGTTGTGTTTTTGGGGGGGGGGGGGGTTATTCAGACGTGACCTCTACCACAGAGTAGAGCAGGTGTGTTTCCATGAAGACCCCCGGCTTCTGATAAGTGCACAAAAGAGATGAAGTTTGCCCAAATTTTTTTGAGGAAAAAGAAAAAAGAGATGCGAAAAAGAACTGGAGACAGGTGATGCAGATATGCTAAAATTTGAAAAACAAGAGAGAAGTAAAGAGTTAAAGAAATTGGATTGTTTAGCATATATCACTTACAGGACAGAGGCCACGACTTATTTCTTCCAGGCTTTTCTTCGGCTTTTGATGAACAACCTGAATGGAATCACATTTTTTTTTGTGAGGACAAATTTGTCACAAGTCTCTCCATAAATCCAGAATTAAACTGTTACAAGAAAAGATAGTTATTCACCAGAAACCCAATAGCCTGCCGTATATGTTTCAACTCATCCCATGCTGAACCTGCATACTGCAGTTCTTTTTGTTTAGCAAATAGATGTATCAAACAGTATGAAAAGTTCCAGACGAAATACCTCATCGGTTGCATGGTAACACCAGCGTTGTAGTTCAGCAAGTCCTGCTTTCACATATTCACCGTTGCTGAATGAACAGCATTCACGTCTCAAAAGAAGACTGCAGTCAGAAGTTGAAAAAAAACACAACCACCTTGTTCATATGTGCATATGGATAACCGAAAAACGATACAATCTGGGCAGATGAAGCATACCTGTTAAACAGTTGAACATTGATGAACGAAAATATTTGTGTGAAAATTTTGCGGACCAAAAATGGTGGTACCTGAAAAAAATCAACAGAGTCAGACATATACAAAGGTTACCAGTGGATAAACAAAGTCTCAAAATTAATGCAGCAATTCCTTTTTCGGGGTTTTGAAGAACAATATATCCTTTTCAAGCAGAGTCTTGATCCAAAATGGATGTAATGGAAATCTCATCTTCCCGGGTTCAAATCCAGGTGCTCCGAAAGCCCTTGTGGCCATGGAGGTTCACCTGCGATGTCTCCAGGCCATTCATGGTCGCCCAGGGGATTAGTCGGTGATTGTAAGCTGGCCCGGAAGACAAACCTATGATTACCCAAAAAAAATAACAAAAAGGTTGAAGAAACAGAAATTTCACTGACATGATTTGTTTTTAATGTGTTGAGGAATTCTCCAAGGCTCTTCACAATCCCTTGCCAGTGAGCAATCAAAGCTTGTTGAGCTGCGCTATTAACCGAGCGTGATGCTCCCTTCACTAGGCTTGCTCTCGAAGTTCTTGGTGCCTTCGATTAAATATCAATTAGTAGAAGAAAAAGAAAACTAACAGAAAATAAAATGATCCAAGTACCTGAATACACAACCCAAGCAATGGAGATATCTCTTTCTTCAGATTATCTCGAATCATTCCATAGATCTTTTCAACATATGCCGTAAGTTGCTGCTTAAAAAGCAAAGCAGGATACTTGGCTTCTACTTGGCTTACAGCATCTAGTGCACTCAGGCCTCCGTCTACGAAAGAAAGATTCACTCCCTGAGGAGCTCCACGGAAACTCTAACAAGAAAACATTGAAGGTCTTTTAAGTAAGAATAGTGTTAAAATGTGCTTTCAGAATACAGAACTTAAGAAAAAATATCAAATTAGAGTATTCACCCTCCCAAAAAGAGTAGCTGATGTTCGGCGACGTTGTGGACCCATTCCAGCTGCTGTACCACCTGCTTTGAGAGTGCGTTGGAGGAGAAGCAAAAGAGTTGAGGCATTCGACAACCAATATGCCAGTATATCGTTGTTATCCTGGGATTTCTTTTGATACACAAAAGATCAAGAAGACTTAGCTGGAAATACTTGCAAAGAATTACTACCTTCATCCCAAAATAATGTCCACCATGAAAAAGGCACACTATTTTAGAAATGTGTTTTACACTTTTCAATTAACTGAAAGACAATTTTACCCTTAATAATAGATGGAGTAATGAATTTCGCAAATCGCAATCTCATAGTAAAGGGTAAAATTGGAAAGTAGGCACTTTTGAAATTGGACACTTGAGGGGCTGTTTGGTTGATTTTCCATTAAGTCATGCAAGTATAAAGCTGTTTGTATGGATTAATCTGTCTGAATAGATTGGGAAGTTTTTCTCATAGATGGAAGGAACGTGTTTTTATAATTGGGAGGGGCAGGTTTGGAAACAACTTGGCTTTCTGCATAAAGCTCCCCATAAAAGCTTACTGAATAAGCCACTTTCTATATCATTAAGCCGCTATACTAAAATTTTTAGTTTAGATGGAGAATAGAATTCTTGGGCCTATCAAAAGTGGAATTTGTGCTTGTGGAAGGATAGCTATACTGATTCGGTATASTCTAAAGACGCCCTCGGTACAATATTGACGATCTCACAAAGATTTTTCAGTGAATTTAAACAACCATGAACCATGTATAGCTGACTGAACAAGCTACAAGTCCCATTAAGCTTATTAAGTTGCTAACAAGCAGACCCTTATTTTGGGACGGAGGGAGTACCAAAGAAGAATAAAATTTATCATTAACATATATTGGAACCTCGATTGCATGGCCTATGGTTTGGATGATGCGATCAAAAACCAATGTTCGTTCGACTTCAAAAGATCTCCATTGCAGAAGGCATTTGTATATGATACAGGCTGCAATTGGTCGGTTCCCTGAAAATCCTACATGTTGTGCAATGCATTTGATAAGCAACTCTTGATTCTCAATCTGTTTCTCGTTAAGTGATTTTTGTGGTTTGTCCTCCATTTCCGCAAGATCCCTTGGGTTCATTGACACACTATGCAGATCCTAGTAAATAAGAAAACAACAAAACACACGGTTACAACCACGCAAGAAAAGGGTACATATTTTTATGACTTTAGCATTGTGTTCAAGAGATATACTACAAAATGTGGCTTCCCATCTCCAAATATATGACCACTATCATTCCTCTGCAAAGATTGAAAGTTGGAGTTATCATAGAGCCCCACAGGATTGTTATATGCCACATTTAACGAGTAAGATTTCTCCAAGTATACCTGAAGGATAGATTTGGACCGCAAGAGGAACTTATTAGGTCCCATTGAAACAGCTTGTTGGCGGAAAACTTTACTCTCTGATTCCAAATTCTGGAGCTTCTCTTCCATCCTGGGTAGAATGGAAAAAAGTTTAACTTCTTGTAATTCCAAAGTTAAACTGAAATTGTGAACCGTGAAAATGAAAATCTTGGAATGGGTCTGCTAACCTGGTCAGAGATTCCTGCAATTGCTGGACTTTAATTTCTGAATCTTCCAACTTCTTGCGTCTTTCCTCATTAAGCTCTTGAGATTCAGCATATTTCTTCTCTAGATCAGCAGAGTGTTGCTTTTCTGACTCCAACGATGTCTGCATGGGGAAAAACAAAGTAAAAGATCAACCAACAATATGCATTTCATAATCTTAAAAAAGAACACCAAGCTATATGCTCAACAAAATTACTTGTTCTTTTTTCGGATAATTATCGTGTAAAATCCCATTTGTAAAATAGAAGTTGATGAGTTCAGACACAGTCAAATTCATTAATTTAGCAAAATATTTGTTAGAATTGATAAATTTAGGGACGGCATCTTATTTATAGGAAATTATGTTTATTAGGACATGTTTTTTATGGGAACCCTTCTAGGGTCAGGTCCAGGGGAAAACCGGAATAAAATGAAAAATTGAAAAACACCTTTGTAGTCGTTTATCTGGACAGTATGCACATGTGCATATAGTAATTTGTAAGCAATTTGTCCGGTATACACATGTGCATAACATGCACACGTGCATAAAAACTAAGAAACAACTTCAATTACTTGTATGCACATGTGCATACCGTCCAAATGTATGATTAGTAGGGTATTCCTCAGTTTTTCATTCTTTTAGGGGGTTTTCCCCTGAACCTCCCCTCTACCCTTCTAATAACAAAACAGCTAAATACATTACACTATCCTAATTCCCAATTAGATAATGAAACAACCCCTGATTTCATTCACTTTTACCAAGTAGGGCACCATGAAGCATCCCAATAGAAATGATTTCTTTGTTTCCCTAGCTTAGTGATCTCATCATTGATTAAAAAACTTGTGGCCCCACAAGTTACCTCGCCAAAACATAGATAGGGAAACCTAAGTTGGATGAAATTATAAATTTGGTAACAACTACAACCCTACAATGTTATGCATTCAATTTGCTAGAATAAAGTAGGGGGATACTCCATTTGAGTACATTACCTTTAAATCATTGACCTCTCTAGTCAAGGATTCAATTTTTTTGGTATCTTCAATGATTACTTCCTTTTCCTGAATAACAGGAGGTGTTTCTTCAATAGCTTTCCTGGCTGCCTCTTTTTCTTTGATTATCGTCGCATTTGCTTCATCAAGTTTTTTTTGCAAAGATTCCAAAGAACTTTGAAATTTGGCAGCCTCATTGGCTTTTGCTTCTTCCAAGTCAGTCTGGAGACATGAGCTCAAGCTTATTAGCCATTAGAACATGTAAATGATAATGGTTTCTTTTAGTGGTGCAAACCAAAGGCGGACCCAGAAATTTTTCTGGGTGGTGGCACAATTTGACTATAAAAACAAACCTGTCGAAATATTTCACAATATCAGTATAGATTGGTTGGTTGGTTCCTTGTCCTTGAACAGAAAGGACCCATGTTCAAGTCCAGGCTACATTTTTTTCTAAAATATATAAAAAACACCAAAATTTAAGCTGAAAACTAAAAATGTTGACATTGGTAGGACTTGAAGATGGGGTTTTCATACAAAGTGAGCAACATTTACCAACTCTGCCATTAAAAACTTACGCCAGAGTTTCAGTTTAAAAAACTATATGGTGGCACCAAACAAACAATACATAGGCACCCTTCAGAAACATAATTTTTTTTTCTTACTACAGAACCATGAAGGGTGGCCTGTGCCACCATATGGGCCTATGTAGGTCCGCCCCTGGTGCAAACCTTTCTCACCATAAACTTTTTCAACAAAAGTTTCATTAGATATCAATACATTACCCTTAAGCGTTTTTCCAACTGTAAACGCCATGTTAGTTCCTCCAACTGTTTTTCGAGTTTATCTTTTGCTTCTTTAAGTGCACCTGTTTCCCTTGCAGCCTGTAGAGAGGTAAGCTGGAGTCGATATCTAATTTTACCATGCAAAGAACTATGCTACCTATGTTAATGGAGAAACCTTACTGGTGGGTCATGGAACAATATTAAACATGAGCAATGAAACAAGATATCATTAATCAAAATCGGAATAGATATTGGAACTGACCATTTTAAGTTTTCGTAACTCTCTCTTTGCTAGTCTCGCCCTCCATCTGCATTGTGTAACTATGGCTCCCTTCCTTAGCCTTTTATAATGTGAAGAACTTCTGTGACACCGCCATCGATTCTGGAAAAAGTATAATTTAGAGCCTCAAAAGTTTATAAGCTACAAAATGACTGGTTAAAATGCATGCTAGTAATCGGGTTAACCTGAATCTTGATCGAGGCTTCAGTTTGTTTCCGCAATTTGAATTGCTTGCAAGCTCTCAGCGCCCGTAGGGCTGTTTGCACCTTAAGCACTGACACCCGAAGTTTACTATATGCCTTCCAATCACGGTATTTACGAAAGTTCTTCTGGATTTTTATAGCAGCTGTTATCCTTCTCAGTTCATCAAACCGTTTGCATGCCAATCTACCTAAAAGTCATTGGAGTTAATCACGTACAGTTTGAAGAATAGTTCAATTATTGGAGTACGAGACTGTAGTTTAGATGATGACATGAAATTTGAGAGTAGATCATGTAATAGATACTCTAAAGGCCCACCTCTGCAAAAAGATTGTACTACAGCCGAAGCCTTCCGAACTTCTTTGAACTGTTTGTGAGCTATATGAGTTCGTATCCGCCTTTGAATAATATTTGCCGCACTGCTGAGGACTTCGGTTCTCCTCGCATCTAGTTCAGCCATCTGGCCAGCTCTCAGGAATACCTTTGTTTTACCAATCTGTATAAGAAACCAGGTGGTTATCAGAGATTATGCAGTCAAGCTTGCCACTAAACACCAACAGGAAGCTTCTTCAAAACCATGGGCTTCATGTCTGCCATTAACATACTCCGTGTAAAGAGCAATGGCATAGTACAAAGAACTATACGCACACATATATAGATATATCACACATGCAAACATGGATATATACATACACACATACGTGTATAGGGTCAGGTTCAGGAGAAAACCACAAAAAAAGGAAAAATTGACAAACACCCTGGTAACCATTCATCTGAACGATATGTGCATGTGCATACAAGTAATTTGTCCGGTATACGTGCATAGAAACCAAGAAACAACTTCAATTACTTATATGCACATGTGTATATCGTACAGATGAATGGTTACCAGGATGTTGCTCAGTTTTTTAATTTTTTTGGGTTCTCCCCTGAACCTCCCTCTAGTTATACATGTATATATGCATGTTGTGTGTATACATACCTGAAAGCCTTTGATTCCCTTCTTTTCTAAAATCTTTCCACATGCAGTCTTTTCATCAAAGCTGCTTGAGAAGTAATGAAATGTTTTAAAGCTATGAAATAACTCCAATTAAGGGACGCAGTATGTAGAAATCCTAGAAGATGAAGAAAATAGAAGGCAAATAACAACAATTCATCAATGGTTACATTTCAGGGTGAAGGGAAGTTCTACCATCCTGTTACGGCTTCTGGGGCAAGAAGTCCAAATCTGTTTATAAACTCAAAGAAAGCACGGCGAGTAGGATAACCAGCACAACTGATTCTGATTGCCTCTAAAACACCCTAAAGAGGAGAAAATTAGTCACATACAAGTGCAGAAGAGAGGACACATAACCACCATAAATAGTTTTAGCATACTCACACCACAGCGCAATTGCTGCAAGATGTTGTTGTTCTCAAATATGGCAGGTTTCAGTTGATTATTTGGTTTTACACACCTAATATAGTGAGGTTCCGTAGCATTTAGTGTTTCCATCAGTTGTTGCAATTGATACTGCATCAATTAGTCTCAAGTTAGTGTACCAACATGCAGAACTCTCAGAATTACACCATCCTCAAGAATGACATAAAGAAAAAAATAGAATAAGGCATAACATCACCTTTTCTATTCAAGAACAGAACACATTGACAACAAAAAATAAAGATACCTTAAAACGAGTACCAATTGAAGAAAACTTGGAAGACTTGGGAGACTCTTCAGCAATTGGAGGGAAAAGGCCAGCTACAAAGGAACATCCAGAAGCACCCAACAGGTCTTGGTGTTCAGGGACTACATAGTCTTTATTTTTATCAAGAAATTGATTAGATTGGTATTGGACCTGAAATTACATTGAAGGGGGTACAATCACACACAGAATTTTACAGCATTTACTACCACAATTGGACTAAAAACGTACCTCTCCAGCATAATGCGCAATTGTGAAATCTGTACGCGACAGCTTGGGTTTGATAAAGCGTTTGTGATTTTTGAAGGTCTGATAAAGCTTGTTTGCAAATGTTTCATGTGTAGACTTTGGGAACATGCTAAAAGTAACAAAAGTTACAATTCATATTTATGAAGAAACAGAAATATGCTAACAGGCACTTCATGGCCAAGACTAGTGCATATGAAAATTAAATTATAAAAATAAGGAATATCTTACCAAGCTTCATCGAGGAGAGCAATGATTCCACCAGGTTTCTGCGATACAAATGCAACTTCAGAAGATTATACAGTTGATGAGACATAAATAATCCTGTATTATATATGGTAGTTACCTTGTTATAAAAGCTTTTATTATTAGTTGTAGAAACAAAATAAGAAATCTATTTTTATACCAATTATATTCTCTATGTTATAGCTGGACCTTTGCATCCACTTAGTCCTAGCTTAACCAATTAAGCTCTAGGTGTCAATCAACCGCATAGCTGCACCTAGAGCTATGAGAACACTGATTTCAAAATTTTGAGATAAAGTCATCCCGTTTGAAATTACTTGGCATCAAGTAAAAAGGCAACATGCTCGAATAGGGTCAAGAGTCGAGGTAATTATAAAAGTTGAACCACTAGTACAACATATACGTACACACACATACACACACACACCACGATTGTATGTGTGTGTATATTTATGTAGTAATTTCACAGGTATTAACATTAAGCACCCAATACTCATGTTTTTGCACCTTTGCAGGTACATTAATTGTTGAGTTGTTGAGTCTGATGTTGCCTGACGTTTGTGAAGCAGTGATGTAGTTTGTGTGTGTTTTACATTCCTTGTTGCGGTGTTTATTGTTCCAGAGTGTAAACCATATCCCTATGGGTTTGTGATTCCCTAACAGTAATTTTGCCCATTCTACGAGGATAGGGTTTGTGATCACAGCCTTCATGGCTGCTCTCATACCAAGATATAATTATGGTTGTAATGTGTTTTTCCATTGATGAATAAGAGAATATATATATATATATATATATATATATAGAATACATCACTCACTGGCCCTGTCTTATGCATCTTATATATATATATATACAATAAATCAGTCACTGGCCCTGTCTTATGCATCTTGTCTACATTCAAGAAACCAGTATGCAAATCATTTACATATCCCATGTGTCATCCAGTGAGTCATTTAGTCAAGAATATTCCCGCTGTTCTACATCTTCCAAGACATAAAACCAAATTAATTGTTGACAAAGCTGTTACCATAACAGGACAAATGGCAGCCTTTTTGTCTCAAGTCCACAAGGAAGGATATATCTGTGGCACAATGGCTGTGTGTTCGATCCTAATCAGGTGCATTTCTTGTTTCTCCTCAGCAAGGAGGTAATGTCTGACTGTCTGTGTACATCCTACCCTTCCCAGACCCTACTTCATGTGGGATTTACTAGGTTCATTTGGTTTGGTTTTCCACAAGGGAAGAATATGACTAAAACATGAACCAGTTAGTTAAAGGAATTTAATTTACTTAGTTGAAAAAAAAACCAGAAACCCAGTCTTAGAACTAAGAAACTTAACTCCAAATTATCATGCAATCCAATGAAAAATTTACTTCCATTTTTGAATATGACCAGCCAACTCGTAATAGCACGCCTTTATCTTCATGCATGCAAATAAGATCGCAAAGACAAACATATTTGTAATAATTGAAAATGGGGAAAGATAAAACCTATTTATCTTAAGGTACGAAATGGGTAAATACAACTGAAACTACGATACCTTTTCAATGAGATCTAAAACATCTTGGTTATCAACAAATTCAATGTAGCTCCAGTTAATAGCCTCTTTTGTATATTCCTCTTGCTCCATCTTAAACACATGCTGAAACTCAAAAGGACACTCGTCAGGCAATTTATAAATAATGCATTGTACTAGCCATGATGAGAAGACCTAATGTTTACCTGGTTAAAGTGTTGCTGCAGTTTCTCATTTGTGAAGTTGATGCAAAATTGTTCAAAGCTGCACATGTAGGATGACAATAAGATCAGAACTGCCAAGATGAATAATCAGATTGTAAGTTTGACTATTGCCGAAAGCAACAAGAATTTTCCTAGAAGGAAGGGCAGCAATGAAGAGTTTTATCTCTATATATCTCGGAGGTTCGTTGTCCTCCATCAATGCCCACGGTATCACACCTTAAAGACTTATAAGCCACTTATTCAGTACCACAAAAGGACCTAGTCTTTGATGTCAAACAGGTACTTACTAAATTTAAAGATGATATACCTCTTTTGAAGAGCTCATTGATTGTGGCTTTATTAAGAAAAAGGTCATTGATTTTGATACTAGTTCATCAGGAATAGTTTTCAATTTGTAGTGTTCATTAAAAAGTGTAATGTAGCTATAAATAAAAGTTTTTATTCTCAAGTATTTCAACTTGCCAATTAACATTTACTTTTTTGAAGTCTAAAGGTAGCTATATTTTTGGAACTTATGGAGTATGAAAAGATATGCTTGGTTGTCACCTGTTGTTCTTGAAGCTTTCAAAACCGTAGATATCAAGAACCCCAATAAGACATCTTGAGGTACGATCTTGTCCAATTGAGACATTAATTTTTTCCACCAACCTGCAAATAATGAAGAAAACACATCTTTTGCTTTATAAGTTCATCAAAGAGGTTTTCTGATGGAAATTGTAGAACCTGCTGTTCAGCTTAGTCTTAAAAACAGCTTCATACCAATCAAATAATCTGGAATATATTGTTTTAGCTAACCCATCTCTGCTGACTGCTGCACTAAGAGGGTCAAGACTTCTTCGTATAATTTCTTCAGGAGTGATCATCACTCGTTTACACAAAGCATCTTCCAAACCCATAGAATCACACCTGACATAAAGCTCATAAAATTCACCAGGACTCATAATGATTTATAGGACTAGCAAACTTTAAAGAATTTGGAAAAAGATATACATAAGAAGTTCTGCAGTCATCTTTAAATGAAATTTAGCTTTATCGTCTTTTAGAACTGAAGAATCAATCTCTTTCCCTTTGGAGAATTCAATATTGCCAAGATGAAGAATAGCAGCAGTAACTCTAAAAATTGCTTCCTGTGAGAGTAAGAGTAAAAGAAAGGTAAGAACTCTTCCAGATGTCATTGAATAAATATATATATATATATATATATATTCTGAGAGAAATACCTGCTCTTCTTTACTTATTCCAACAACATCCATAGCTCTCCTTGTCGCAAGATATTCATGGGCATCATTAACATCAACCAGCTCATAGCATTTTGACTGGTTAAGATAGTGAAAAGATTTTGGGCTTCCCAACTGATACTTCTCAATTTCCTGAATAACACAAGCAAATATAGCCTGAGGTTGGAAAATTATGTTGCTAACAAATTTACTTACTAAAAAATATACCTCTTGTGGTGCTGCACATAGAAGGTAAAAACAGTGATAATTGCGCTCTGGATCATTTATTTGGCAAACACGAGACCTCTCTAAAAGATAAGTCCTGATGGCCGCTCCTGATATTCTCCCATGCTTATCAAATTGGATCTCAACAAATTTTCCGAAACGGCTGAACCATTATTAAATACAAGAATCTTGATGTCAAAACTGAAGCAAAGCAGCATAACAAATTTGTAACTTGTTTTTAGATTCAAATCTACAGGACACGAAAAGAATCCTACTTTTCTCTTCATGGTAGCTACCCTAGCATCTATATTTGGCTTGTTTAAGAATTTATATTAAAAAACACTCAAATGTAAAAATTGAAGCCTAAAGAAAAAGGAAAAGTTGGCAAATGAAATAGAAACATCCCTTCATTTTACATAACATAACATCAAGCAAATCACCTGGAATTGTTATTTCTAACAGTTTTTGCATTGCCAAATGCTTCAAGAACTGGATTTGACTGCACTCACGATGGTAACATAAGCTTAATCAGGATTATATATATAATATATGTCAAAGTGCCATAAACTACAGAGTAATTAAGTAGTCTTAATATAGAACTATACGTCATATATCATACTTCGAGGACTTGTTGTTCAACTGTGCGACCTTCAGTAGCTTTCCTGCCACCCAAATAGGCTAGGTACTGCATAAGCATTTTGGTTGTCTCGGTTTTACCTGCTCCACTTTCACCACTGACCAGAATCGAATTGCTTTTTCCCTCATTAATCATAGCCCTGGTTTCATCAAAGATAGAATTTTACACTGAGGACACCACACATAAGATTATGACAAAGTCGTTACTAACTCGTTCATACATATATATATATGGAGAGAGAGAGAGAGAGGTGGTTTATTTTACAACCTATTCTATTTGTACAACCAATGTGATAAACCTCCTTTGAGGTTTACGTACAGAAGAAGGAGTTAGTTGAGTCTGTTTAATCTTTGCTTTAAACATGAATAAGGGAGGGGTAAATTGGTAATTCTGTTTGCTTAAATAGTGAGTTGTTGGTAGTAGTCGAGTATTCTGTTTTTGATTTCGGTTTAGTCAGTTTGGAGCGACAGCTCAGGGAGAGAACCCAGACCTCTCGAAAGTCTGGGAATTGCATCGATTTCATGTTTCAATAGATTGGCCGACGATTTCACTATTGTATGTTACAATCGACGTGTTCTAGCTACTATATTTCAGCCACTGTGTGTTTACAGCTTGCGATTAGGGCTGTGGAGTTCGATTTCTGTTACGATTCAAGCTAGAGTATAACACAATGCAACCCCATCTTAACCATCAATTAGTTCATCTACGGTCAGCAGATGAGGTGGAAAAGGTAGTTACAGATTATCAATTACAAAAAATGAAAAATAAAATAAAATGGACGGTTTAGATCAGGGTTTGTATTGGTGGTACAAATAGGATAGGTTGTATTTGAAACGCGCAATATATATAAGGTTGGGTTCACGTGAGATCAGGTTGGGTTCACGTGAGATCAGGTTGTTTTCATGAGACCCGTGAGATCACTTTTTTACACTTGAAACTTCACAGCAAAACGCTGTGAAGGTAAAAAAAATCTGAACCTTCACAGCAAAAACAATGTGAAAGTTACCTTCACAGTGTTTTGCTGTGGAGTTTCAAATGTAAAAAAGTGGTCTCACGGGTCTCACAAAAACAGGTTGGTCTCACGTGATCCCAAGTCTCTCTCTCTCTCTCTATATATATATATATATATATATTTCCGCTGCACTCAATTTTTATTGATTTATACTTGGGATTGCTATTACTTTTATAATCTGTTCACTGAGCTATGTCACTCAGCCGTGCGTGTTTTTTGTGCACGGCAGGTATATGATGTACAATCGCGATTGGGTTCAAGTGATAAGAGTGACGGAAGCTACTTTTTGAGATCCTTCCTAGTGACGGTTTCTCTTTTGGCTATGAACTTGTAGTTATGTTAACCTTTTGGATTTACATATGTAAAGTACATAATACTTAGCATTCTCTGTATGATATCCAACCTACTTCTATGGATGAGGTTCTTTTGAATTTATGTATATATATGTGACGGGAACCCTGTCCTAGATCACACAGGACGGGGGTCAGGGGTCATTACAGTGCTGGTATCAGAGGAAAATGACAGTTACCTGTAAGAGACATCAGCAACTGCAAATACATGGGGACTAAGTTCTCCAAATGGTGCTCCCTTGTATTCATCCATCATATGACGATCATACAAATGAGGTAATTTTTGGAATGGATTGATTGCGATTAGAATATTTCCAGTGTAAGTCTGTCATGGCTTGAAATAGGTAAGGATTGACTTTGCAGTAGATCTCCATTAAGAAGCAAACAAAAACAATCTTAGATTTTAACATGAGAAGGAAACTTACATAAATTTCATTGAGTTCATATCTGATTCTTAAGTTCTGCAAGACTCCTGGCTCATGTAAATAGGATAGTTTTGTCATGTCATCAACACCACCAGCAGGAGCTTCCATATCCTTCGGATATACTTTGGATAATTTAGCAACAACCTGAAAGAGAAGCCTTAAAAATGAATACAATGATGGTACATCATTTAGTTCAAATAAATTATTAAGAAACCATTGTGGTTTTTCTTTCTTGTTTTGATTATGAGGTACAGTTCTCCTCTTCTTAAATGGAACTCGTATTATTTCTAAGCTGCTAGCAAACCATAAAAATGAAGTATCGACTGTCGAGCAATTATTGATCCTGCTAATAGTATCACAATGCACTATGTGAATTCTAAAACAACTCATTATGATGACTTGCCAACAGGACCTGCTGATTGCCTTGCTTATTTTTTGTGTGCAGTTGGTAGATTTTTGCATGTATGCATAGAAGCTCGATTCGTGTCAAGTCCAAATATAAGAGTAATATTAAAGTAATAGCTTGAATCCGGGGTCATCCTGTAGAGCTAAACCCCTCAAGCTTTTGCACAGATGAAAGAAGTTTGAAAACAAACTCGTAAGATCTGAAGCCCCCAACCTATGAATCAAAACTTGGCTAATTTTGAATATGAACGGCACCTTTTACTGGCCATCAAGACAAAACCAAGATGGGTAGGCGATCAACTGAAAATTTTAAGAAAAATCAAGATACATCCACAATCCCAATCTATATTTTTATGCAACGAAAATAGGCCGTTTAGCATCAGAATTTGCACAACTCACTATGAATTATTGTGTTTTTACTTGTTAGAAATAAAGGGGGCACCATCAGCTACTCGTATGACAAAGGACAAATACTATAATCAGTCATTAAGAATAACATGAATATAATTTTCATAACGAAATATGTATGACAAAGGACAAATACTATAATCAGTCATTAAGAATAACATGAATATAATTTTCATAACGAAATATGAACTACCAACCTTTTTCAGGTTAGGAGTCTCGATCTCAGCTTCTTGCCCAGTAATCTTTGTTACTTGCCCATCAATCCATGCCTGATCTGGATCTTCGACCCAGACATGAGATCCTACTATAATATTCACCGAAGTGCTCTGTGGTACATAAATTAGTCAGCAGACACAGTGTAAGTCTATGCAATATTGCCGACAATCATATATGTAGGTAATCAAGTATATACTTGCACACGAAACAGATGGATGCATGTTCGAATAAAAGTTTGCCTGGTGAGCTCCATAACAGCAATTAGAAACTATTTTGGCAACATGCATACTAGATTGGCAGTTAAACTTGTCAAACATAGCATCTAAGATATGCTCTAAAATGTACATGCATCCCATCAACAAGTGCCTAATCTCTTACATGCCGAATATGGCAGTATGGAGAAACATAAGGAAATACATAACCAAAAATGAAGAACTTTTTTTTTGGAAGGGTGTCCGAGGCTATGCCAGGACTAATTCGGGCAAATTGTGACCGGAAGAAATTAGTCCTGATGAACTTAGTTTGCCAACTACAACCAAATTCTGCATATCCACATCAACATGACTGTTGAATCTCAGTAATATGTTTTAAACAAACATAATGAAACTATCAATTTATTCAAAGCTGATATAATATTATTAGAACCCAGGCTTTGGTACCTCCCACCCACCCTCTACCCCTCCGCCCCCGCCCCAAAAAGCACAAGTCCTTACCTGCAATTTGCTACCCGAGTCAAGCATCTCCACAAACACCTATCTGAGATCATGTCTTCCAAAATGCTTAAACTGCCATATCCAGTCTCAATTGCTCCTCCCTCCTCCTTACACCCTCAACCCTAACACTCTCCGTCCTCCTCACTGGTGGCGACATCTGTCTCCTATGAACATTCCCCAAAACCGTGAGTTTCCCTCTTGCATGTTATCCATGATAACTCGGGTCGAAAAACCTCTTTTGGCCGTTCAGCCTTAGCTGGACCTTTTTGTCCCACAACACTCCCGTGGCAGCCCTCCATTTTAATAGTTATAATTAATTACAACAAAATCTATATCAATTTTTCATCTGAAAGGAACTCCTAACCATATCCCTGATTTAGGAAATGATAGTACAATAAATGTATGAATACACCGAGTAGCATGAATATCAGAACGAAAAATTCTATAGCAGTTAATAAAATTAAAGATGAAGACGAAATTTTGCAGAATGCACCTACCATTTTCAATGTTCAACGAAACCCTAAAATTCCTCTAGCGATTTCTATATGATTCTTCTTCTTTCTCACAGATAAATCAGAGCTCGCTTCGTCTTGAGCCAGCTCTAAATCATTCCCACCATTATTCCATTCCGGTGACCACAGCTGATCTGCATTGCAAAATTTTGAATATTTCCGGCTGATTCACAAGAAATCCATCAGATTCATCGTCTATAATTTCTTCCGTGTCTGTTGTTTACATGTTGGTGATTTTCCCTCAACCTTTTTTTTTCCTTTTTTTCCCCAAATTTTCTCTCTTTCTTACCACATCCGTCTCTTCGGTGTCTCCTTGTTTGTGGAAATGACATCGTTCAATAGCTACCCTGTGAAGTCGGATCTTCTCACATAATTCTCGGAGATTCGTGGCCATGAAACACGTCTCAGTTTCTCCATTTTATCTCCAGTCGTCGCTCATGCTGCTGCAACTTCATATAAGGTTTTGCCCATGCATGCAATTCACCGACTCATGTTTGTACCATTCGCATCAATAATTGTACCATGTCATAATTACATTTTCATTCAAACTTTGGCAATTGATGAATGGTTTGGTGCATTAAAAGACATGATATAGTGTAAAATAAAATAAAATTGTTTGGTAATTGTGTACAATCCGGGATACAAAATCATTCAGAGAGTTTTAGAACCATTAAGAGGTAAACTTTTTTTTGTCAAACAAGATTCACCTCTTAATGATTCAAAGATTACCTCTTAATGAAACTATTAAGAGATAAACAAACAACTCTTTCAAAACTCGCACAATGCAACAAGATATATCTCAATTTTAATATTTCATTTTTTTTTGTGTCTCGGTCGATGTTATAAAAAATTAAACAAAAATACTGATATTAGAGTGTTCACAGTATATTCACAAACTATAATATTATTTCTAAGAAAATGTTCACAATGTGTCTACCGTTCATATTATATTATTTATATATGCGTATGTCATGGAGAGATGATAGATTTAAGTTTTTTGGTTGATTTCGAATAACTTTTTCTAATATTTTTATATATCTTGTAAAAATATAAAAATTATTTATTTTGAAATGCTTTTTGAAGATATTTCTTCTAAAAATACAAAGATGTACCTGTTTACAGGGCTGTTTACCAAATGCTTAATCAAATAAGCGCTTACCAAGTTACATTACCTTACCAGATGAATATGGCAAGGATTAAGAATCTTATCCGGTAAGAACGAGACAATGACAGAGAGTTTTACCCGGTAAGTGATGGCAATGACTCTTACCATGGTCAATGCTTATCAGGTAAATTATTGCATATAAAAAACTGAGAGACACATTGATAACTATTGTATGCAAATATGCATACAAGTAACTGACATCGTTTCTTGGTTTTTATGCACATGTATATAACTTGCTTACAAATTACTTGTATGTACAAGTGTATACTGTCTAGATGAACGGTTATCAGGGTGTTCATCGATTTTTCATTTTTTTGTGGTTTTTTTTTTTTGAACCTGACCTTATGCATATGTATATGTATATGTATATGTATATGTATATGTATATGTATATGTATATGTATATGTATATGTAAGGGTTCAAACGAGAATACATTCATTTCGCTAGAACACCCTTTTACTATAGACAATCACATGTGATACTATTATTCCATCACATTTGGTACTAAATCAAAATCACGGGCGATTTCATGCGATATTGGTTGCGGGTCAAGTCGCCCTTACACCACTAAGTCCCCTCACAAGTATTATTACATGTGATAAAGATGTTGATATGATGCTAAAATCCATCAAGACCATCACATGTGATATTAAATCATAGATGCAGACAACCTTTGGTGCGGCCTAAGTCGCATAACACGTCGTCCGCACATCACATGGTCCTCTCACGCGTATTATCAAATGTGATAAAGGGTGTTTTCGTGTTCTCGTAAAATGGAGGTGTTCTCGTAAAATAAAAGTTTTCTCGTATTTTCATATGTATGCATGTGCATGTGCATATATATAAATAAAGAAAGAGGTTTCAAATACAAATCATGTAAAATGTTACAAACCTTATATTAGCAAACAATCGAGAATCGTTATATGATCCAGATGTTTATGAAAGATAATAGAGTTTAGTTATTATGTTCATTACTTTAGGGGCTGTTTGACAGTTGTTGAATGGTTTGATACAAAATGATTAAGAGGCTCTCATAATATAGTGTAAAATGAAACATAATTGTTTAGTAGTTGTTCACAATGAAATTAGGGTGTTGAATGGTTAAGGAAGGTCCAGGATACAAATCATTCAGAGGGTTTTGTAACCATTAAGAGACAGACTTTTTTTTACCAAACAAGATTCACTTCTTAATGATTTAGATGATGTCTCTTAATGAAACTATTAAGAAGTAAACAAACAACCCCTCAGATTTGTACGAGAGAGATTATAAAACCAAATATCTATTAGGGTATATATACGATTAAGAGCTTGTTTGTTAGCTGCTTAATAAGACTCACAACTTATTTGGTCAATTATACATGACTTGTTTGGTAATAGTTTTATTCAATAAGCTTTTAAAATGAATCTTTATGTAGAAAGTCAAGTACATATTCATTTGGGAAAAAAAGGGGAAATGCCACAAGGAAAAAAAAAGACGGAACAAAAATCAATACATAAATCAACCCGATCTTAATAATATCGACGTATTTAAAACACGTACGGGATCACACACTTGACGTTTTTGGGGAAATCTTCAAACTTGTTTACGTACCATTTTCTCGTCATGTAACTCCTTGAAATCAGATATATGGAGTCGCCAAAAGCGCAAGCAAACGCCATCGGTGTCTGACTGATAAAATAAAACGCCCAAAAAACCAGTATTTCGAATAGATAATGAGGACATATAACGAGATTAAAGAGTCCTCCCTGCGGGATCTTGTACACTTTTTCGTTGGGTTTCCTTAGTTTCGCGAGTAGGTTGTGGTGATAAAAGTTGCCGAAAATTCCCAACGTGAACACGATCAAACCGATGTATTTTAGATCGAACGAAGGCTCAGGGAGACCGAGACTCAGATAGTGGACAACGATCAAGCATGCGGCAATCGAGAAATACGAGATAGAAATGAGAATAGTCGAACCCAAAATCACATCACCACTGTACTTGTGAACAAATATAACCTGGAGATGAAGATCGATCGGATAACAAAAATGTCAAATAATATCTATTTCAAGTATTTTAAACACGTTTTCATTTAACGAAAAAAATGTAAAAAGAATTTTATCTGACATTAAGGGGTTGTTCAGTAACGGTTTAACAAACTGCATTATATATACATACGTGCATCGGATAACGGCTTATTTGCTCGACCCACACAGGAGAGTCATATATATTCAGATTGTGTTGAACGGAACAGCCGAACAACTATTTAACCTAACTCACACAGACAATTAGTGTTCGGGATTGCTTATTTAAAACAACTTATGTTTTTTTTTTTGTAAACGTGTTTATTAACTTATGTGGTATCAAAATGTAGTTTTGTAAAAAGTGTTTGGATTAGCTTATAGCAATACCAAAAAGCAATAAGCTGATAAGTTGTTTTTTTAGTGTTTGACAAATTTTTGCTTGTATATGTAAAATGACAAAAAAAGGGCAGTCTTCCATATTATTGACAAAAATTTATATCAATAAAATTAATAATTAACAAACATTAATAAAACAGGGTTATAATGGTAAACTGGTAATAAGCAGTTTTTCATAAGTCAGAAAAGATTAACTTATCAAAAACTGCTTACTACCGGTTTGGCACCGATATAAACAGTTTTATTTTTTCTCATCCAAACACTAGCATTCAGCTTATCACCGGTGTCAGACTGAAATAAATAAAAAAAACATCTAAAATAAACAATCCCAAACACCCTCTAATTTTCATACAAATAGCTTAATCCATACAGAGCAAGCTTGATGAAAAAACAACCAAACATCCCCTAAATTAATAGAAAATGATTGATTGTTGACATATTCGTTTAGGAGTTTTAATCAAGTTCAGAAATTTACCCCGTAGATTTAAGAAATGATACTTATTTAATAAAACAAGAAAATGGCCGAATCAGATATGATTTTATGGTGCATATAAAATCACATATGATACACGCGACTTTATCCCGTGGTGTCTGGTCGTGCCTAAAGTCCTTTGTGCCCTTTTTTTGCCCCTTGTATAAAATCATATGTGATTTTGTATGTAATTTGACCATCTTTTTATTTTTTAAATATGTATCATTCTTGTATGAACCCATCGTATATACATACATAAGGAAATATATTAAAATAGTCATTTTTCAAAATTGGTTTCACCCCCTACCCATTTTCTCTCCAAGTTTACCAAAAGGGGTTTTCTAACCCCACCCCCTCCTACACTCTTCCCCTATATTTTCTATACCCCCTCCTATATATTATTTTTCAATTTTAACCTTTTGATATTTTCAATTTTGACCCTTCAACTTTTATAATATTTTGTTATTATATTTTTTATGTTTTTAATTTTTAATATAGATTATAATTATATAAATTAATTAACTTTATATTATTATTAATTAAT